GCAGTGTCATGATCAGCACCAATGTTAAGACTGTTAAAAAGACATTTCTTTAATCACATGATATAAATTCTTGATAAAAATTGAAAATGAAAACAATTCTGGAAGAGTTTTCTTGTGGCACAAGGACCTCAGAACCGGTAGGGTCAGTAGTGACGTAAATCAAACATTTCCCATTCAAATGCTGGGGGCCTGGAGCTGCCCTTCTCCGCCACTTCATTAGCATTAAAGTTTTATTGAAAATGAAACGCCAAAAAAGAACTGATTTTTCACAGTGATGCTGTGGTGTCGAATATGAAATGCATTTGGCTTGAGAAATGCACACATAGGAAGGAAAGTCTTTAAGACATTGGTAGGAAATTCCTGCCGTGTTTGGTTTCAATGGGCTGGAACAGGTTCAGAGTAAAAACCCTCCCAGAATGAAATATTTTCCTATCAGCGTCAACCTGTCTGGCACGTAAGCTCATTGTAGAGTTGCTCAAATTGTGATGTGGATCCTGTGAATTCTTGTTCTGGTTCATTTCTGTTCCAAAGGAGGAAGTGTTTGACCCTTCTTGATAATTTGACACATGAGTCAATGAGATGTCAGCCAGTTTCATTTTTAGATAAGTTGCCCTGATGTGTTTCACTATCAGTTCCCCTCAAACATCTTTTTCTACTTTCCACCCCCCAGGGGGCTACTACCTGACCAGCGCTTACGGAGCCATGGCCCTCATCAAGAACTTCCAGGAGGAGCAGGCGGCCCGGGTACTGAGCTCCGAGGCCAGGAACACCCTGCACCAGTGGCACCGCCGGCGGACCACCCAGCGTTCAGTGCCGTCTGTGGACGACTTTCAGGTATCACGCCTGACCTGAACCCACCTTGAACGTCCAGGCAGTGAGTCTAAGTTGTACCAATTCCAATTGGCACCAAACTTCAGCATTCAGCATTCGGAAAGGTGCATGAGCGGTGCTGTGTTTTGGCCCTCGTCAGTGAAAAGGAACACAGTTTCTACTAACATCACAGCATGTGGATCAGGGTCTGGTTTCATGGTAGAAAGCTCCCTCTAGTGGAACATTTAACAACTGCATGTGGTTTCTTTCTATAGCTGTTACTGCATGTGTTTTTTTGCCTGCCTGCTTAACTCATCAGTAATGCTGTTTTCTGTCTGTACTGCCAAATGTTAACACATGCTTTCTTTGTTTCTCTCTGTAGAATTATCTGCGTGTAGCCCTGCAGGAATTGGACACGGGCTGCACGGCCAAAACCCTGGTCGTCCACCCTTACACAACCACAGAGGAGGTCTGCTCACTCTGCGCTTCCAAGTTCAAGATCCCTGACCCCGAGAACTATGCACTGTTTCTGGTCACTGAGGACACCAGCCAGCAGCTCGCCCCGGACACACACCCTCAGCGAATCAAAGCTGAGCTCCACAGCCGGCCCCTAACACAGATCTTCCACTTTGTCTATAGGAGGGTGTCTAACCTGAACCTCTGTATCCCTGCCGTCATGCACAACGGAAACTGCCTTTAAGCTGAATAGCAGAATGTAACATCTTGCCGCATTTGATCCTAAACAAAAGTTATGTTCTGTGGTATTCTTCTGGTGCTTGTAGATGTTTGTTTTGTAGATAGATTTGAGGATGTCTGAATGGAAACAGAATACAAGTTGTATATTGGCCTATTGATGCAGATAGGAAAAGTCTGTGATCCAATATGATGCCATGCAGATTAGGAGGTCATTTATTCTTTATGAAGAACCACAAAAAGGTAGGATGGACTCTGGAAAGTGTCAGTGTTTCTCTCAAACACTTCAAGACTGTCGTTCAGATTCGAGCCAAAAGGCAAAGAATGGAAAGCTTGTTGCTTGTTTGGTTCGATTTATCAACACTTCAAGCATTTAGGGTCCATTTGGTCCTGCTGAGCTGAACGGAGATTGTTGGATCGCGTATAGAGGCTGGTTTGCAGGATTTTTAGTATGTGAAGAGTTAAATGGAGGTGAGCGTTCTTCAGTTGGTCGTGTATAACATCCTCAAAGCAGAGGTCACACAGTTTAATATTGCATTATATGTAACTAACGTTTGCCTTAACTGCTGTTAGCCCAGGTGCCTTCAAAAGGAACTGAACATACTGTATGCTACTGAAAGCTTTCAGCCAGTGATTATTCAGCTTCCAACAAACTGACCCATGCTAAAACATTGATTTAATAAGTAAAATGAACTATTGTAAAAGATAAGATTGTTTTTTTTATTGCTCTTATGTTTATTTTCTGCAATTGCTGGTCAATTGTAGCGTGTATGTCTGTCTGTGTAGAAATATTTTTATATTCAATATATGTCCTTTTTCATCAGGAAAGTGACAAAGATTTGTATTCTGATTTAATATTTCTGTACCGGACTCAATAGTGGACTTGGATTTATGCCAGTTATTTCTCAATTTAAGACAACACTGTTTCTACTGTTTGTTATGGAAAGTTCAAAGCTGACTGTGGAAATATATATAAAATCAAAACAAAGTTACTTGCTGACTCCAATGTATTTTTCAGGATATTTCATTTTCACATAATTTTGGAGAGGAAGTGTCAATTCTTGTGCGTGATATCAGATTTCTCTGCGGCACAATGTTACCCTGACTGCGCTGGAACAAGGGAGGATTTTACTGTATTTATAAAATGTAATGCACATAGTCACACACATTTCAATCCACAAACTGTATGTATATACAATAGAAATTAAACTGATTTTAAATGACTGCAGAGCCTACCACAGGAGCCTAAAGGTAAGGTTGTGTTGGTCTGATATATAAGGAGACAAGTGATCTATCCCTGAGAGAGCCTCCTCTAAGAGTTGTCCCACATGTGTTGGTGTTTAACTGTAGAATGTGACTTTGATCAGCTTCTATCAATGTCCTGATAGAGGCTGATCAAAGTTGCATTCTACTATTACATTGACCCACCCATGCCTTTGATTGGAGCCATTTGAAACTGACCTATAGTCACATATTCACAATAAGGTTTTGTGTAGCTACTTCCAGCCAGATGAATAGGTTCCTGGAACTGATCATTATTTATTATTATGAAAACTAGCCTTCCTGTGGTAAGAAATAATACATTTTACAACACAATGGCTGATTATTCTCACACCTCTAACTCACCCATGTCATAGCTCTCTAATGTCGAACCCCAACTGTCAGTTCACTGTTAATTCTGAGTCTTACTCTAACTTGAGTTCATTTAAAGATGTGTAACATTTAGGAGGATCTATGGAATAATAATGGAATATAATCAAATTTAATATAATAGTTTCTCCTACACACTCCCAAGTTCCAATCTGCAACCTCACCACTAAACACTCCTACAGACTAGTCCTTTAAAGAGCTTTAGTTAAGATCCATAGATATCGCTTGTTTACTGAATACATGAAGTTAGTGTATGTCAACCAAAAATAAAGTTTAAAGAGGGAGACAAACAATGAGCCTAGGTACTGAGGCTTGAAACACAGATCACTTGAGTGAAACAAAAGAGTCAAAACTAGAACAAAGAAGGATTGTGTGGTCTCTATCAGTCTTGTTCTGGTCAGTGAGTACTAAAGCCAATGATGGTGGGGAGGGATCAAATAAAGGTCAGTAGGTAAAAGCAGGTTGTCAGATATCAAATAACAAGCTCTATTGAACATGTACTATCTAACTGCACATAAAACAGTGAATCATGTAGGTTAAAGTTATTAATCAATGATGAAAACACAGAGTGTATGCTAGCAGAGAAAATGAACCCTGGGATTACGTTCTGTGAACTTAACGCAGACAATAATATTTCATATGTCTATATATTTCATACGCGCTAATCATGTAAGACTTTTAAGGTTTCTGCATAGTGAATTCACATACACTAAAGAAGAGCATACGAGTTGTGCAGGGGTGTTCCAGACTTTTTGACCGGGGTGACACAAGTGGGGCACTGACTTACACAAGTATGTGACTCAGCTTCCAGTCATTCCCAATATATGCAACTCCAAAACTGTTCAGGGATCCAGTATGCAGGATTTTTGCCAAAAATTGCATTGAATTAGCATAAAGTGGACATGTCTACAAAGGGGAAACTTAGACCCTTACAACCCATTTTCATTCAGATATCTTTAGGTCAGAGGTCAAGGGATCACTTTGAAAATTGTCATGCCAGTTTTTCCATTGTCAAAATTTTGCCTAAGTTTTAGTTTCAAATGATACCAGTATCTTTGTTTGCTTTAAAAGGAAGCTCGCTACAGTGTCTGAAAGACAATGTGTAGTCCCCCCTGTGGAAACGCCCCTGGAGTTGTGAGTGTAGAGGAATCTAAATACACAGAATGTAAAGATAGCCTAAAGAAAACTGCTCCCGGCAATATATCTGCTATTGAAGATCAGGAAGGACAGTGAAGCCCAGATGATATTCCCCGAGATCTGAACGGATTCAACACGACTGATCCATTGGAAGTATATAGGCTATAGGTTTGCCAAGGACACAGAACTAGTGGATGTTCTGCTGGACATGCAACAGATGTAAAGCTAACCTTCAAATGGATAAGTCGACATCAATTCTGCTGGTATTCCTTTTCTATGCATTAGATTGTAATGATATAATCAATTATCATTCATGTGAATTAAAGTGCTGGTGTTTATTACAGGCTTTATTATAGCCTTCTAACTTTGGTTAAGACAGCTACTGTTGTGAGTTTGATGATGAAGTAATATTGTGTGTGTCATGTATGAGGGTTACACTATATTTTAGTGTGGATAACTCATTTTAACCTATATTTTGTTCTTTAAACATTGTCACATTAATATTAGAGATAAAAGCCCCCCCCCTTACATTCGGCACCGGTGTTGTGTGGAAGACTGTTCCCCGGTCAAGAGGTGCTTCCCTCTGTCTGCATTGACCTGAAGGGGGGCGGGACAAACAGAAGAAACGATGAGACCCACCCACCCATCTTCCTGACTGGTTAGTTACAGCCATGCTCAACCCCCCCTCCCGCGGGTGGCAGTCTCTAATCATGTTGGCCATATTTCCCTGAAGTGAAAGCAGCTGAAGCACGGATCCTTCCGTGACATCTGACGCCACTGTCCCGCGTGCGTCTTTCTGATTATGAAACCACGCCCACTTCCGTATGACAGACACATATACCGTCTCAGCACTGGAGGGTTGATGTTCTTGTTTTTCTTGGTGAGTATGTTACACTACTGAATCGGTTCATTAGTAAATGTAACGTGGCGCCGCGAGCAGCCGCAATACTGACACTTAACAATAACAGTTAGCTAAACTGTGTTAGCAGACAGCTGTTAGCCAAGTTACTAACAGTTGTCAAGAAAGGGCGTAACTTCAAACTAACGGTTAACGGTTAGTTTCGTTTCTCAGACTGTTTCATGTCAGTGACTCAGGTTCTAACCACATATTGGGTTTAACGAAGGCCTAACCTAACATCATTAAATACAATAGGGGGTTTAAACCCAGTGTAGCGTTAAGTTACAATATTTAACCTCTGCTCTGGCGCAGCAGACTTTCAATTACGTTATTCCTACTTTTAGAATTAGGACATTTTATTAATTTATAATTAATATATTAAATTTTTTACCGTCTATTCTATTTATTTATTTTTCAAATAGTAGCACTGTCTGAAACAACGGTGACAGGAACTGAGAGTGTGTTCTGGGGGTTGGACAACATTATATAAGCATATATTATTATTATTATATTAGCTTTACATATAAAGGGACCACAATTTACACTGTAAGACAGCCACTGAACACATCACAACATTTTGATATTAATTCAAAGAAGCCCTCAGTTATATGAAGATGTTTTGCACTTTGCATATAAGCAGAGAATTCGGTAATGTGTATTTGAAGGTAAGGTATGTGCAAGTCTGGCTCATTGACGGTAGATCCACCCTCTCATCCAGATATGGTTATTTCTGGCTCCATTAATCAACATGGTGAGGACCATAATGCCAAACTCCAGGCTTTAAAATAATACACCACAAAGCAATGGGTGACGTCACCATAGGTTCACACTTTAAGAGTTTTACACATTGAAACTTTGTTGTGGAAACTGAGCCAAAGTTTATAGGTTGATATTATGTGGCAACATGTTATACAGTTTAGGTACATTTTGTTGCTTATTCAAGTAAGAGAAAAGTCACTACAATATAATGTGCTTGTCATGTATTTATATATCCTGTTTGATTTGAAATCAACTGGCATGAGTTAAAGTTGTCTCTTTCACTTTCTGTGCAGGAGCCTAGACCACTGCCTCTGTGATGGATCCCCAAACCTGTCTCAAAACCACACTGAAGGACAAATATCAGAAACTAAAGGAAGCATACTCGGAAAACTCATTACTTCCTTCAAGACTTTGCTATCGGATGATCAAGGAGGACTACCCATTAAACAATTTGCACGAGCATGAATTTAGAAGTGTTGACAAATCGGACCTTCATTCTTGGTGTTATTTTGAAACCATCCCCCTCGCAGACATCTTATCATGTGACTGCCAACATGACAGAAACAAAAGAACAGTCATCTCTTTGGGAGTGAGTGGAGTAGGAAAAACCACAACAGTGCAGAGTTGTGCCCTCGAGTGGGCCGAGGGGAAAGGGTACCATGACATTCACCTCCTGTTTCCTCTCACATTCTGGGAGTTAAATGTGATCAAACACAAACTGAGCCTAATTGAACTTCTCCAAACATTTTACCCTGAACTGAAGGAGCTCGATGTTTCCAGCTTAAATGAAAAGAACGTGTGGTTTGTCCTTGATGGACTGGATGAGTATCATCTCCCACTAAAATTCAGCTGCCCAATTGTGAGTGATGTTTCTGAGGTGACCACAGTGGATATCCTTGTGACCAATCTGATTAGGGGGAATTTACTTCCCAGCGCTCATATATGGATTACAACCCGATATGCAGCAGCAACCCAAATCCCTGATTGCTTTTTGCTTAAGGAGACCGAGGTTCAAGGGTTCAGTGATGAACAGAAGGAGCAGCATTTCAGGACAGTTATCGGTAATGAGAATCTGTCCAACAAAGCCATCGACCATGTGAAAATATCAAGGAGTCTGGACTTCCTTTGTCAGATACCTCCAATTTGCACCATCATGGCAAATGTTTTGAAGGATCATCTCAAAGAAGAAGATGGGTTTAAAATCAATCCCTTGAATCTAACCCAAATTCACGAAAATCTGGTCAAAGCATCAAATCCGGACATTATTGCCAAGCTGAAAAAGCTGGCACTGTTTCGGATGGGTAAGGGCAACGTGATGTTTGAGCATGATCTTCAAAAAAGTGAAATAAGTATTGAGGAAGCGTCAACTTTCTCCAAAGAGTGTCCACTTGTGTTGAAAGAAGAGAAAGGGCTGCATAACACCACAGTGTTTCGCTTTGGTCACCTGAGCATCCAGGAGTTCTTGGCTGCGTCTGCCAAATTGGATGACATTGAAAGAAGTCCTGACCCGTCCGTCTGTTGTCAGTATCTGGTGCACCAGGTCCTGCAGGGTGCTGAGAACCACTATGATGTCTTTCTTCGCTTTATCTTTGGCCTCATTAAGGAACGCAGCGTGTTGGAGCCTTACAATCAGCTGATTGTCTCCACCAAGAAGAAGATCCTGGAGAACATTTTGTCTTACAACGCTGTGGTTCTGTTCCACTGTCTGAGGGAGTACGACAGCCAGGCTTTACTGAGTGAGGTCAAGTTCTTTTTGAAGTTTAAAATCTCTCCAATCAGTGACTTTGGACCACCACATTGGCTGTTCATGATCCAAAGGACCACAAATTTTGGAGGAATGAGAGATAGCTTTGAGATGGAACTGTCCACAAGATGTGATGAAAGACTCCTCAGGCAGCTGCCAGCTGTTTTGAAATCCAGGAAAGCCATGTAAGTTCGTACTCATTGGATTCAACCTTTATCATTTATATAAACACATTCCATATATATTTGTACATTTACACATTATTTTGTGCTGGCTTTCTGTTCCAGCAGAATGAGTTCGAAAATTGTGGTTCATAGGGGTCACCTCACCCAAATCACACAAATATATTTGATCACGTTTTATTTATGCTGATGATGACATTACAAATGACAATGAAACTTGGCAGCAAGCTGTTTTACCGGAAACAATATTCTGGTTACTCCCAATCAACAGACCTCCCTTTCAACAGTTAAATTATTAAATTATTACATGAGTACTCAGTACTCATTGCTTGGACCACACCCATCTTCAAACTCAGCCTTCATTTTGATCTCAACTACACACCACAAGTTTTGTTACTGCATCTTACACAGTTGTGATCACCTTGACAAAATCTTTCCGCATTTCCACCATTACTGTTGCGGCTGGTAATTATGCACAGTAAGGTCTGTGTATATCTCTAGTAACCGGTGTTCCTGGTATGTTGAATTTTTTTAAAGTAATTTTTCAGTGCTTTGAGTGCCACAGATTTGCTTCTATCGTAGTTGGGTGGTGGCAATCGTCTCAAAGCCTAAATACCAAAAGTCTGTGTTTACACCCATATTGGGTAAAGAGTCTATGGCTGTCCTCCTGCTCCGTCCAAAAATTGAGACATAGTTTTAAAGTTCTGATTCCTACACATCCTTGAACACTGCTAAAACTGAAAATCCACACATTAACGTCTTAGTCATTGTCTCATTTTATGTCTTCATTCATTTGATATGTGCTGGAAGACAGTGCTCAAAGAAAATGTGTCAGTGTTCATATTCTTAAGGACTGCACTGTACATCCAGGAACAATTAGTGACTTGTTGCTGAATTGAATTTTCTGTTATATGCTATCATTTGTGTGTAATGTTTATTAAATGTCTTAAAAGTATTTCTCCTAAAAGTTTCTCAATGTCAACAAATCCCATGAAAAGACAAAAACAAACACTACGTTATTTTTAGCATTAAGCTCTAATGGAGCTCTATGACACAGAAGAGTAGGACTTTGGATACACAGACAGTACATGTTCGTAGGATCAGTTCATTGTTTAATGCCAGACCTGTCATTTATGGTGACCACACTTTGACATGTGTCATTAACTCCCTTCTCATTGCAGGCTGCGATTCTCTAACCTGACAGATAAGTGTTGTCCAGCCTTAGCAGCAGTCCTGAGCACCAAAGAGTCATACCTGAGAGAGCTGGACCTGGGATACAACAGCATCAGTGACGATGGAGTGAGACAACTCATGGAGGGGCTGAGCGATCAAAACTGCAGACTGAAAACGCTCAGGTTGCAAGGCTGTGGAGTGACCGCTTACGCCTGTAAATACCTAGCCTCAGCCCTGAGACAGTCCCGGAAACTGCAGGAGTTGGATCTCAGCAAGAACGAAATAGGAAATGAGGGACTGCAACGTCTCGCTGATGGTTTGAGTTCTCCTGAATGCAAGTTAAGAACACTTCAGTAAGTGTTGGCCCACCCCATATTCTTGAAATCATGTTGGTATCAAAACAGTGAAAATGTAGAATGTTCATAGTGTTTGATGTTCTTTGCACATGGAATGACACTGATAATTAAAGCTGCAAGAAGCAATGATTGGGCCCTCAAAGTTGCATGTTGGGGTGTGTTGCAGGCGTGTTATGTGCCAGCATATCATGTGTGGACCACACTGTAAAATTTGTACAGAAATCAGATCACCATTGCCATCCAAGGCTTATGACAACCTACTGTTTCATGGTGAAATGTCGAAATTTTACACCAAATCATGGACATTCGATGCACAAAGAGCACAACTTTTAATAGTGATGGTCTTTAGATTGCAGTGACCAAATCTGAATTTGTTCCGTTCAATTCTCTAGGTCCTAGAAAATTGAACGGAACGTGATCATTTTTGGTTCCTCCTACCAAAAATGATCACGGAATTCAAAATGGCAGACTTCCTGCTGGATTTGGGATATGGGTCCAGGAGGCTTTTTTGTTTGTCTGGTCATTATACAGGTGCCTACCAATTTTCAGTCAAATGTGTCTTGGGGGCTGAGTTTAGGGGGCGTGGTTAAGCCATTTTGCCACGCCCATGTGTGAGACCCATAGAATACTTACATTTTTGCCACCGCTGATTTTTGTGAATGTGATTAATTGGGAAATATAATAAAATAAATAAATAAAATAATAATAGCCTGAGCAGGTTCAGTATGGTCCTCACAGTGCTTTGCTGCTCGGGCCCTAACTAAATGACACAGATACAAACACTTCCTCTCTCATTATAGACTGTCAGCTTTTAAAAAATGGTTGTACATTTATTACATTTCAGTCATGTTGCTATGTCATTTTTTTTTTATTGTAGACTATCACAGTGCAGAATTGAGAAAAAGGGCTGCTATTATCTGGCGTCAGCTCTGCAGAACAACCCCGACCACCTGAAAGTGCTGGATCTGAGCATCAACATGGTGGGAGACAAGGGGGCCAATGAGCTCTTTCATAAATTTGATATATGGAAGCTCACAAAGCTGGAGTGAGTATGACTTAATATATAAACCCATTTAGCCTTGTCAACGTGTATGAATAGAATCCAGTTCCATCTTTGTCTCTTTGGCAGGATGTGCCACTGTGGCCTCACTGCGTTGAGCTGTGGGGGTATCGGGGAAGCTCTGAAGTTTGAAAGCAGCACTCTGGTAGAACTCAATTTGAGCAACAACAGTTTGAAAGATTCAGGGTTTGCGCTTATCTGCGAGGGAATGTACGCATGGTGTAGTCTGGAAAAACTCAAGTAAGGACACCTTGCTCTTGTAATTCTTCTTTGATTACATACTGACTGAAGAAAATGTTGGTATGAAAAGAATTTTATTTTTCACTGATAACTGACTGAATCTTCTCTGCAGTATTTAGCTAACAATGCTCCTGTACTGATCATTTAATATCCCTAAACTATTAAATAAAAACCATTTCTCTTATTTTCTCATTTCCTTTCAGCGTTTCAAGCTGTGGAATCACTTGCTTGGGTTGCATATATTTGGCTAAGGTGCTGTGTTCAGTCTCACAGCTCTACAGTGGGTGGACGCAAAGAACAGACTGGCAGGCAGTCGAGCTGAAAGAGCTTGACCTCAGCATGAACTTCCTTGGAGACCATGGAGTCAGAGAAATTTTAGGTGTCATGAAGAATCCGTACAGCCATCTGACAACTCTCAAGTAAATCATTTTCAAAACATAATTCTTCATTACACAAATATTGTGATGTTATAACAGTACGCTACAACACAATTTTTGTCCCATTTCAGCCTGAGTCACTGCGGCCTGACTGATGCCTGTTGTGTAGACTTTGCATCAGGATTTACATCAAAGGAGTGTATTATCAGCGAGGTGGACCTGTCTGGCAATGACCTTCAAGATAAGGGAGTGGAGAAACTCTGCATGGGACTCAGAAGCCCTCAATGTGGTCTGGAGAAATTATTGTAAGTTTTTTTACATTCTTTATTATTACTTATTGCTTCTTAAAGGCAGAATGATATTCATTCAGCAGCTCAGTGCTCTGCTGTATGTCTCACTGAGTGGCAGACCATTAAATACGCAAAATAAAATGACAAAAACCGGCGGGACTCAGACTGAACGTACCCCAGGTGCCAGAGGTAAGCAAGAGGAGCCCAGGAGGACGGGGCAACTTTGAATGTTGTGTTTACAAACTGCAACTGCCAAATTATAGTCAGTCAAAACGTGCATTAAGATAACTCTTAGCCATGTAATAAGTGCTGCTTATTAATAATTACGCTACCGTATATATATAACTTTGCTTTAAAATACATTCAAATCAGCAACTCTCTGATCAAAGCATGCATAAAAGCTTTGTTTTCTCTCTAGACTGAGGAGCTGCGGCCTGAGCTCGAGGAGCATTCAGTTCCTGACCACTGCCCTGAAGTCAAACCCCAAACATCTGAAAGAGCTGCATCTGATGGGCAACATCCTGGAAGACTCTGGAATCAGAGCGCTTATGAAACTAACAAAGAGCAAGAAATACACTTTACATACAATAGAGTGAGTACTGATATTGATGATTTAAAAATGCATATAATAGATTTCAGCAGGTATTCATGTTTAATGCCTGTACCTTGGTCACATGAAGCAGAAAAATAGGCTAATATAGTATGTGTATTTTTTCCTGTCCAGTCGTAAATGTGCAAATGAAATGTTACTCACTTTCAGACGTTCATTCGTGTCTTTATTTTCTTATCTTTCAGTGTCTCTGCAGATTGAGGAGACAGACAGAAACACCACACACTCCTTGTGTTTCAGTGTACATTGTGGCTACAAAACAAGTGCAGTTAGTCCACCTTTGTTTCGTTAATCTGACTTTATTTACTGCTTAACAATCATTTTCAGAAAGCATGTGAAAATATATGAGAAGATCTCTTTTCACCATCCATTTTTTACATATATTGTCATTTATTTTTTACTTTTTTTACTGTGATGATGTATTAATTGTATACAGTGCCTTACTACTAGTGATTTACTAGGTTGCAATGCAAAGCACTTAAAAAGATAATCCTTTGAAAAGAGAGGGTAATGTATGATGAATGTTTGAAGTATTGTATCTGCTCATAAGATATGTGCCTGCATTATGCTTGTTCTGGACTCAACTATTGGATCTGATGCAGGCATTGAAACAAGATGTAATCTGTGTGACCAAAAAAATAAAACTGCTGTGCAGCCATGCTGTGCAGTGCTGGTTCACCCCTGTGTTATAGCAGCACTCCATCTAGTGGCCGACCCTTGCAGTGTCAGTAAGTGACGCGTTTGGCGCTGGCTGACACAGCGGTACCTTGGCTGCGTCTGTGTCAGTACAGCACCGCAGACAGCATCTCCTGTGTCATCGCAGTGAGCCAGTGAACGCACCTGAGAGCAGGAAGCAAAGGTAGGACAGAGGACACTTTGAAATGTAACACAACAACTAACATGCATTTTATCAGCATCCTGGGACAGACATGTTGAAAAAGGCTGGTAATGCCAGGGACGGTTGTAATATCTGTTATGTAAGTGCATTATACAAAGTCTCGTAATTGATATTTGAATGCTGTGTGGCTTTGATGTCATGGTAATCTGATCAATGCGAGCTGTGCCAAAAAGTGCAGAGGGGTGTGGATTGGCCCCAGAGCTTGCTGTTTGCTGGCTAGGCCTGTATGGCGCAGTTTCAGGGGACAGATATTCCAAACCCTCACTCATGCGGGAATCTACTCTGTCGACCATCATGCTGCTGCCACGGTACAATAAACAGTGCTGTGTGTCTGTCTGCAAGGTGGATGCTGAGACATGCAGACATTTCTAAAACGCCATCAGCGCTGCAGTAACGGTCACTGTCTGCTTATTGCGGCAGTCTCGCATTAAATGTGTTTTACTCACATTGTTTTGCACTCTCAAACTTATTTTATTAGGAGATTCACTCAAAGTAAAGGGACTGATGTAGGTCGGAGCAGTTATCGTTGTCATCCTAGGAGCAGGTGTATGGGCTGTTGTCATTGGTGTTCGTGTAGTATGGTTGTCTGAAAATACAAACAAACAGCCTACTGCTCGAGTTTTGATATCTCATGATATGAACAAAGCAGTAAACAGTCCGAGATAGCGGCGGGGTGTTTCTCATTTCCCCCTCAGAGGGAAATCAATGGCAGTAAGCAGCAGTGTGGCGCAGACGCAGGCGGATAAAGTTCAGTGAGCGCGATTTCAAATTGAGCTGAGTGACTGAGCAAAGGGGGCGCGTGCCACACGGTGGGAGAGTGACGCAACAGTCACAAACGTCACGGTCGCGAGCTTTGACTACCTAAAAGTCACTATAATTATGTACTAACGTTAGCACAAAGCACACGGTAAGGGGATAGATAGCTCCACTATATTCATTTGTGGTATGCCTCGTTCTTCAACATTATAATTTGGAATATATATTTTTTAATTAAATAGTTTAATGAAAGCCTTTATGAGAAGGTAACTTAATCACTGAATAATTCCAGGTGCCAAATTTGCTTAATGATAACGTTAGCTTTGCTGCTAGTAGATTTCCACAAAATGAATGGCAAGGCCCCATTAGCCATTAACATTGATGTACTTGTTAAATTAACTCTTGATAGTTGGCCTGTGGTCTGAGTTTTTGAGGTATCCTTATGCATTGACGCGAAATGGCGCCAATATACCGTTAGCTAAGGCTTACTAGTCTGTTGAAAATAGGCAGATAATGTTACTTGAAGTTCACGTTGAGAAACTGTTTCAAAAAGTTACAGTTTGTATAGAACAAGGTGCAGCATAAATTGATACTGTAACGGAAGAGTACAGTCCTGGAATAAGTAGCTTTATGTAAATTAAGAATGAAGCTAATCTGCCTCATGTGGAACGTTTCACCCTTTATTGCACATCATGCTGGTGCAAACTCACTCTCTTTGTACATTTAATATGTTGAACTGAACAAATGAAGACAAGAAAATAAATAGAAAAGCAGAGCCAAATGGAGCATCCAATAAATAAGAAATCAATAAAAATTCACAAAGGTAAGTCCAGTAAAGAAATACTTTCTTTCATACACTTGAGGGATTTTGCAAGTAGATTTAGTTAATTCTTCTGATGGTTCATTAACAGCTCAGCCCCATTTATTTGTGTTGTACATCAGACAAGTTAAGATCCGGTAGCGTCATTGAGCTGGTAGCCTGATATGTAAATATTTAGATGGTAACATTGAACAAATCTGAGGATATCATTAAACAAGTACACAGAAGCTGTTAGATATATTATATTTTAGACCATTTTAACATATATTAAATGAGTGGCGATAGATGGGGTGAGAAGTTATTATGGTCTCTAATTCTAGTTTAACATTGTGTAAATATTGAAATACTGAGACAAGGAGACCTCAGAGGCAGCCACTGATTGACTGAGATTGCAAATGCTACCTCCTTTAGGACAACCTTTGGTCACCTCTCTGAGTAGAGCTTAGCCACTGTTCCCCCGTTTGAAATTCTGTGGGGTTGAAGCGTGGTACTGCTTAACACTGTTTGGGATTGAGTTTCACTGTGAGCATGATGATGGTTTTTTCTACTCAATATCTGCCTCAGACAAGTATCTACTGTATGCTGACCTGAGATTGGCTGAATTCAAAATTAACTTCTGTAATACAATATAGGCAATATACAGTATGTGAGGCAGTGTGAAGGCAGTGATGCCAACTTTGTTTTTCAATTTTAGATTGAACAGACTGAGTTGTAGAAACTCTTGTGGGTGTGGGTAATCACCATTTCTCTGTATAGTTTAGCCACTGCACTTTGACTTTGATGCCGGTTCTTGAACTTTTTTGATACCAATTTCATAAAATCTATTTTAACAAAAGCCAATACATTATACATTTCTGTCTCTGTGCTAGAGACCAGATACCGACAGCAATCCCGCGTCAACTTCAGTGTGTTTCTCTCCTTTCACCCGTCAGTCTGTAAACAACACCGTGCTGTCTGAAACACTCTCTGCCCCCACTTTGCAGAGAAGAGGATGTTCACTTAGTGGTCGGTGCAGCTAAGCAGCTCGCAGTAAAAAAACAAAACAATTTGTGTCCGTGTGTGTAAACACAGTGTTTTTCCGGCACACCTCTACGACATGTAAAGTTAGCCTGCTGCGTTCTTATTGGCGCACTGACACTGATGAGTGAAATTTGGTAACATACTAGGGTCAGTGCCATAAAAGTACTGAAGTTTGGTACCCAGCCCTATTCTCTGCACAGGGTAATTACTGTGCCGTCATTCAGTATGTACAGTGGAAGTAACTAGTTGTATACATAGATGTTTGTCTTCTCTCTGCACTCTGCAACAGTAGCTTTTAATATCCAACACTGGTTAGATAATGTCTGTCTGTGAAGGAGTGATATTTCTCCATAGGTCTGACCGGCGTCTCATTTACTGCTTGTTCTTGTTTGCTGGGAATCTCAGTGTCTTCCAGGGTGAGCTGCTATGGGGAAGGAGAAGCTCCACATAAACATTGTGGTAATTGGACATGTCGACTCAGGCAAGTCCACCACCACCGGCCACCTCATCTACAAGTGTGGGGGCATTGACAAGAGAACAATCGAAAAGTTTGAGAAGGAAGCTGCTGAGGTATGACTCATATTGTTCTCACTTGAATAGCTTTTGTGTAACTGCAGAGGAGTTTTTGTAAGTGTGTCTTATTTCTGTGTCTTGTCCTGTTACTGTACTGTTAGGTCAGCATGACTACATAACAGAATTAATTTATTTTATTGGGTTTTTTTTCACACAAACATACTTTGGCTTTCATTGAACATAAATCATTTTGCATAAGAATTCCAAATAAATGATTATTAATATCAACCAATTATTTATCAACTGTAATTTAGTTATCCCGATACCTTAAAATCATCAGGGTTTTTGAGGCTGATCAATAGAAGCAGTATTGGCTGATACTGATCAGTGGGTCTATTTAAAGCCTTAGGTTTATAGTACGCACACACCTCTGTCTCACACCGGCTACCCCATCTTTCTGCTCCTCTCTCCATATATCGTACAGGCTGTATGTGTCTCTATGAGTGTCAAAATACTTGTGGAATAAAATAAATGTTTCAACTGATCGGCTCTTCTGATCGACATTTATTGAGATCGCCGATCAAACTAATTAGAGCGAATATCGGCCAATTATGATAGGTGACCGATCAAAATAATGCATTTCCCGTTATCGGCCAATAATTTATCTGTCCAGATAATTATGGTGCATGTCTAGTACTCATACATATATATCTGTAGGTAAAGTAATTTATTACATCTTTCAAAAATATTTAGCAGACTGATACTGAAGCTTTAATACAACAAACTCCTTCCTATGGTGGCTATGAGGTGAATGCAATGCAATATACTGTACTGAGACTAGCCTCCATTTGCCTCCATTTTCCAGGAGGGCTCGGAAGGAATACTAATTCATACTTTGCAGTCACGTGATTACCATGGTTACCTGGCGGGCAAGAAACATATATAGTTACATATATCCGTCACCTTACACCGCACAAAAAATGAAAGCCTACAAAAGTACGGATAGATATCTTTTCTTCAAGAGTGGATGGGTTAACAACGCTGTCATATGGGAGGTGAAAAACAGGAATATCTTCATAATCAAAGCAAACGTGACTGTTACTAGTTAGCCAGCTAACATTACCCGCTAACATTTGCTAACGTTTGCATGTTTGTAGCTATACACAAAGTGACATCTGTTCCGTCGTGTGATGAAGTCTTCATCTGAATATGTTCACTCTGCCTGCTGGCGAATGAAAGCTTGATAAGTAACGTTAGTTTAAAAAAAACCTTATGCCAACTAGGCTGTATCATATATGGCTCGCAGGATGTCAAACATTGTAGCCTACCTGCTCATCCACTCCACATAGCATCAGACAACAGACAAGAGCAGCTGGGGCAGCGAAATGCCTTTAATCCTGTTAGCAATCTGTTAGGTTGTAACGTTAATGTAGTAGTAATAACTGTACGATAGTATGTATGCAAAGTAACTGTAAGTAAGTAAGTAAGTAAGTAGACACAGTACAACAGTAATGTGTGTACTGTAACACGTATTCTTCTTCTTATCATATCATATCAAATCACTTACATATGATATATATACACTTTTGTATAGTAAAACTGGCGACGTCCTGGCAAGATCCTTGATTAGTTTACTGGGTTTCGTTGCTGGAGAACGATGTTCTTGCCCGCCAGCTAGAAGTTGTGACGTCACGTGCAAAGTATGAATACAGGAAACAGAATTCTGTTGTAGAGTGTAATGAAGTTGCCAGTGTGCACATACATGCCAGTTTATTGATAATTTGATTGCACCTGGGACTGTGCATTGTAAAACAGTTTGCAGTTGTGGCACTAGTATAAACTTTGGACAAAGGCATCTATCTCTTACTTTCCCTTCCACACCCCCTAGATGGGAAAGGGTTCCTTCAAATATGCCTGGGTCCTGGACAAGCTGAAGGCAGAGCGTGAGCGCGGTATCACCATTGACATCTCTCTTTGGAAGTTTGAGACCAGCAAGTACTACGTTACCATCATTGATGCTCCAGGGCACAGGGACTTCATCAAGAACATGATCACTGGGACTTCTCAGGTAGAGGGAGAATGGGCAGAATAGTAGAAAATGGATCAAATGCATGATAGAGACAGAAAAGTACCTGAGAAGGAAAGACTTTTTCACACCTCTCTCCCCCCTCTCCTTTCAGGCTGACTGCGCTGTGCTGATTGTGGCCGCGGGCGTGGGCGAGTTTGAAGCTGGCATCTCAAAGAACGGGCAGACTCGTGAACATGCCCTGCTTGCCTACACCCTGGGAGTGAAGCAGCTCATCGTGGGTATCAACAAGATGGATTCCACTGAGCCCAACTACAGCCAGAAGCGCTATGAGGAGATTGTGAAGGAAGTCAGCACTTACATCAAGAAGATTGGCTATAACCCTGACACTGTGGCCTTTGTGCCCATCTCTGGCTGGAACGGAGACAACATGCTCGAACCCAGCCCTAATGTGAGTCTGCTGTGAGACCTAAAGTGTAATGGTTTGTTGGCAGTATTTACATTAGGAATAAGGATAGTAAGTCCTTACATAAACCCCATCTGTTACATATTTGGATATAAAATGGTGCAACTTCATTATTATTCAGTGTTCCTCTGCTTTTGGTCCCTGTAAGAAGTTTGAAAAGTTTAAAGGTGCTTTCAGACAGTAAGAGGTTGATGCCACCACTACCATTGTTGTCAGTGTAAATACAGCGGCAGCCGTACCAAGGTCGGAGGAGAGGGAGGGTTGTACTTTTTTAACTTGCTGCTGCTGCACACTGTGTAACCATTGTGATACAGTACGTGTACTGTATATCTTTTACTTTATACATTTAATGGACCAAACAACTAATCAATTAATGGAGAAAATGATTTGACAGATTCATTTCAATTAGATTTTATTTGTATAGCACCAATTCATAACAAAATTGATCTCAGGACACTTTTCAAAATAGAGCAGGTCTAGACCGAACTCTTTATAACATTATTTACAGAGACCCAACAGTACCACCATGAGCAAGCACTTGGCGACAGCGGGAAGAAAAACGTCCTTTTAAGAGGCAGAAAACCTAGGACAGACCCTTCGGCTCTAGGTGGGTGGTCGTCTGCCTCGACCAGTTGGGGTGAGACAGAGAGACAATGAGACAGAAAGAGAGAGAGAGAGAGAGAGAACAGAGGTAAAGACAGAAGGACAGACAGAGACAAAGGTGCACAGCAAAAACAGTATCATCAACTAATAGTAGTGACTGATGATGATGAACATGAAGAAGATGATTGCAACGACAACAGCGATGGGAAGGGAGGAGCTCAGTGCACCATGGGAAATCCCCTGATAGTCTAGGCCTATAGCAGCATAACTAAGGGATGATTCAGGACTCACCTGAATTGCAGTAATCCAGCCTTGAAATAACAAATGCATGGATTAGTTTTTCTGCATCTGTCTGTGACAGGATGTGTCTATAAATGAAAAAGGCAGTCCTAGAGGTCTGCTTTATGTGGGAATTAAAGGACATGTCCTGATCAAAGATAACTCCAAGATTCCTGACAATGGTGCTAGATGGCTTTAGACAGTGAGTCTCTGAGGCGGAGGTAAATCTGTAATGAAAGTTAGTTGCAGCCCTAGATCTGATCAATGAAACGAAGCGGTGTGGGAGCAACCTCAGCTTCAAAATCTGATTAACCAATTTGGGACAAAAAACAACATTGTTGACACTGGTAAGCAAAACATGCAATACCATTGCTAACCGTTTCTTCTATTTTAGGCTACAGTTTATGATTAGCTGATACTAAGTGGAGAGCAGCAGCCTGTGGTGTACAGGTAGGACTGGTTGGATCAGAGGTAGCTTGGACCCGTGTGGTAAGGTTGTGACCTTTGCAGTCGGCTGTTGCCTATTCAAGAATACTGATGTTGTCAGACGGCAACCGCTTACTGTCTGTAAGCATCTTGATTATCAAACAAAAAGGTTCCTGCGTGTTAAAAACATTGAATATATTACACTATTGCTTTATTTTATTTAATCACTGAAGTCACTCCAGTGTAAGTCTCGAAGTAAACCTCTGAGCTCCCTCCTCTGCACAGATGACCTGGTTTAAGGGCTGGAAGATCAACCGTAAAGATGGTAATGCCTCAGGCACCACACTGCTGGAGGCCCTGGATGCCATCCAGCCTCCCACACGCCCCACCGACAAGCCCCTCCGCCTGCCTCTGCAGGACGTCTACAAGATTGGAGGTGAGGGCGGTGTTGGTGTGGGTGGCTGTAGGGTGATAGTTGTGCAATTTGTAGTTGGAAGAACAAACTTGAGAGATGCAAGCGCTCCAATTATCTTGTTCTTCTAAAGTGTCAGTGGCAAATTATATGTTGAAAGTATTTGGGGAATGAGAGAACCTTGTAACAAAAAAAAAGAGCAGAACTAAATGAGGTCTGGAAAGAATTCCCATTGGCTCTCTGTGTCCTAAAGTGAGCGTCTGTTCTTTTTTCAGAGCACCATGTGAAATAGAAATCATCAGGCATGTTGAAGCTCAGTTGAAGCCATGCCATTGTTTTACAAACAGTTGGCAGTAAACACTAAAGTTGGTAATGTTTCTCTCTGCCAGGCATTGGGACTGTACCAGTGGGCAGAGTAGAGACAGGAATCCTAAAACCTGGCATGGTGGTGACCTTTGCCCCTGTCAATGTGACCACTGAGGTCAAGTCTGTGGAGATGCACCATGAGGCCCTGACTGAGGCGCTGCCTGGTGACAATGTGGGCTTTAATGTCAAGAATGTGTCTGTCAAGGACATTCGCCGTGGCAACGTGGCTGGAGACAGCAGGAGCGACCCACCACAGGAGGCAGCCAGCTTCACCTCTCAGGTCTGCATACAGGAGTGAGCTTTGAACAGGATACTGACTTAAAAAAATCGACATGCTAATGAGTCTCTGCTTCTGCACGTGACTTTACCTGTCTCTGCTGTTGTCCAGGTGATTATCCTGAACCACCCTGGTCAGATCAGTGCTGGCTATGCTCCCGTGCTGGACTGCCACACTGCGCACATTGCGTGCAAGTTTGCGGAGCTAAAGGAAAAGATTGACCGTCGCTCTGGTAAGAAGCTCGAAGATAACCCCAAGTTCCTGAAGTCTGGAGATGCTGCCATCGTGGACATGATCCCTGGCAAGCCCATGTGTGTGGAGAGCTTCTCTGAGTATCCACCACTGGGTGAGTTTACTGTCCTGCTGCAGGATTTCTGCTGTTACTCTAATATAAATGTTGCTTCACTCTAGGTGATTGGGAAATAAAATCAAACATTAACCCAAATCTTTTTTTCCGTCAGTGTATGTTTATGCGTATTTTGAAGTATGATGGAAACAAAATTACTAAAAAGAACATCCTCCGTTTAAAAAAAGTTTTTAATTTGCTTGCCTTTTTAATGTGCTTAATGGAAGATAGAGTAAGTCCTGGCGTAGAGAACATTTAACTCACATGACTGATGAGCTGTTTCCGCTCCGACAGTCTCCTCATCGGTCCCATAGCTCTAGCATACACCCATGATCGCTCCGCACAGATCTGATGTAACCTTCCTAAAATGAATACATGAAACAAGCAAATGTCATACTTTCATTCAGTTTTCTACATTTCACAGTTTGAGATTTGATGCTGTTTTGGCTTAATTACATGCTTAATTTCTTAATTACGTGAACTTGTTGGGCCTTCTTGTTGTTTTTCGAATGGAGAATTGGCTCCACCTACTGCTTATCTTGATGAACCAACTCCTATTAAGCATAAATTTGCTTTTTTTCCCTCTCTTTTACAGATTTACTTAAAATGTGGTAAACATTTGTGATGCAGTTGGATGGAAACATGGCTACTGACAATGTGAACTTAAATGTAATATATAACAAATGTTATCTCCATCTTCACTCAGGGCGGTTTGCAGTCCGTGACATGCGTCAGACCGTGGCCGTGGGAGTGATTAAAGGTGTGGAAAAGAAAGCCCCCACCAGTGGTAAGGTCACCAAGTCCGCACAGAAGGCACAGAAGGTCAAATGAACGTTGTGCTGGGCTGCTGCCCCAAACGCTCACCGTGGCCGAAGACACACTAGCACCCTGCACCTTCTGCACACCATAGTCAGCGTCTGGTCTATTATCACAATGCATCGCAAAAGCAGACGTAGGAAAAAAATAACTACCATATTGTTAGTGATAAACATGTTACTACACTGTTCTATGTAGGTTTTAGTGTCACCCTGTTTGTGGCAGAACAACACAAGACATTTGCATTACGGCTCTCTGATTGTGTGCTGCTGTAGTGAGAATTAGGCTGCTCATTGATCTAGCCAACAAATGTAGCTGTTAAGCACCAGTAATAAAGCAGAGATGTTTTTTGCCAGGTCTTTGTTGAAGTAATGCTCAGTGTTCCAGCTTTAAAAGAGAAATGCTAACTAGCCAGATGTAGATTGGCTGCTTGCATGTTCCCTGTTTGCACCTTAGAGAAACTCTTTGTGTGATACCTTACATCTTCATGCTGAAGCCACAGTATCTCTCTTCAATGTTAGAGTTACTGTTTAGTTCATGCACCTTAATCACTGTTGTGTGTGAGCACATGTTCATAAGAGTAAAGATGTTTAAACAGTATGTCTTTGTTCCTGGTGTCATTGCTGTCTGATCCCGAACCACTGAAGATCCCACTGTGTCAGTGAATGATAGGAAGCAAAAACCAAACTCTTCATAGAATTTCCTTTATTGATGGATGAGAATAAAAGTTCACTTGCATTTTCATTACATTACAGGCTTCATAAATCTAACTGAGATTATAACTAGTGTGTAAATATGTGCACATAATTTAAATAAATTAAAAGAAACGAGACAGAATGTTAACATGTTAAAGGCCCGTTTTATGCCCAGTAGCAAAATGATCTCTGAATTTAAAAGAAAAATGCCTCAAGTCGTAACATTTACAAGGAGAGAAATGAAGAACCTAATGCACTTTTCAGGAAATTCTAGATATGGAGATGAATATGTACCACAAAAGCAAGGCACCAATATACTGTATGTACTGCACATTTTGTAGACTTCATATCAGAGCTGAGGTCTTTTTTTTTTTCTTTTTTACTTCCGATGCAATCAGTTCGAACCATAAATAGTGATTTGTCTTAATGACTTGTCACATGGCATTCATTCTCAGTTATAGATAGGTTTGGATATGACAACCTTTTCATGCAAAATATATTTAAATATCTGAAGGAAAGTAAGATCCACTTCTTGAAAACAAACTGACCCCAAGACTCCGTCACGTATATTCTGGTCTTTCAAGTGGCTCTTTAGCATTCATTGAGGTACTGCTAGCTAAGGGTGATTATTCACCACTGAGGCTTTGGATGCTTTATGAGTAGTATTTATTTATCCTACAACTTAGAGAGAGCCACTTAACCTTGCCTGATGCACCTGATTCTGTACCATGTACAGGAGTACATTCTGCAGCGAGTCCACTTCAAAGAAGAAAAACTAATCCCACATTACACTGTATGGAAAAAAAGCAAACACTGACCTTAATTCAAATAAGATATCTTCCTTTCATGTAGAAACAGGGTGGCAAAAGCCAAATGCAATACAAAGTTAGATTTCTGAACAAGTCTTTCAGTGTATCTGTTTCCGAACCAAAACAAAGTGCTTCGCTAAGACACACATATTCTGACAAAATATCAAACTGTTTTTCTAACCAAGAAATGACATTCAAGATGTGTTTCAATCCATGGCTGTCATGGAGGTGCATAATTGATCTGAAAATAAGCAATAACCGCTCCTTGTTCCTCTCCTTATCTGTACATGTGCCTAAACAGGTGTGTATAGTCGTGTATGTGCTTTGAACTTGGTGCAACTCGTACTACAGCTGACAGCTGGCAGAAGAGACATCAATAAGTGTTCATATATTAGTTACAGGAACACTGACTTTTATCTTCTCTGTCTGGCTTTTCCCACTGCACTCCTCAGTAAGAGATTATGGTTACAGTTGTCAAAGAGTTCCAAGATAACACAAGCTGAAAAGGAGCAGTCCTCTAATTTTACATGATTCAGCCTATTCACTACAAATCACTTGGACATTACATGCTGTGGCTCAGAAATTCTGACGTATTTTGTCTCAAGTTGCTGGCAGTATGATATGAAAACTTGCTGACTTCAAACTTGCTTGTTTCAAGTAATTTCTGATACAGTTATTGTAGGAGGTAATGCAATGCAGACTTCTTCAAACTATCTGCACTTAGACTGCATAACCGCACAATGATCATGTAACAACAACAAAAATGAACTGATATTCACTGTGAAGGAGTATATAACTCAAGCATGTTTCAGGAGTCCACTAATTGATTCACTGTATGGAAATTATTGCAATGCAATGGATGCCTGAAACTAGAAAGAATTCATTACAAAAAGCCCAAAACTGTATTTCCCTCAATCAGAAATAATAAAAATGTTAAATATGTAAGACCTGTAGTTCAGGGGCTAAATCTTGCATATACACTGTCATGGTCCTTGTGTGTGGTATATTTGAAAAGATTGTGGGAAACCAAAGTCATCGGTCGAGGTTAGTAATTCATTATTATAATAATTTAAAGGATATAAACTTAAGGAGGTTATTTGGTTCTCTAAAATGGACACAATAGTATGGAAATAAAACAGAAGAAGAACAGAGCATGAACAGTTTGGCAATGGTGAGGTAACATTCACTTCAGCATGGAAGCCTGTCACATGACTGGAGAGACAGGAAACAGATGTGTGGGCGCGTGAAATGTCCCGACAAGGAACTTTCACTTTGTGTTGATTCTGGCGGCCCCTGTGGACAGAAACAGTAGTGTTTCTACTGCCTCATTTCATTGATTTCAAGGGGAATCTGACCCAGGGGGAGGTATTAAGAATAACTACATAGAAATAGCCAATCTTCTAGCTGATGGTTTGTTTATACAGGCATCTGTTCAGTTGAGACTGTTACATAACCAGTTAAAACTCTAGAAGTATTAAGCCCCATTTTTTCCATTACCTACAACAGTTGAGTGGTATTCTCAAAAGGATTTTTCATAAATGTTAGGTGTCCATGCCTTCCTACTTTGTCAAGTGTAAACGGTATCTTACTAATCTCAGTACCTTTGACTGAAAACATGCAGTGCTCATGCTCTGTCTCAAAGTCACATATCAACCAGCCGGCTTTCAGGACCATGTTTAGTTGGCTTTGTTTCATAGCAAAGTCTCAGGTTTTAGGGGTCTGTTCCCATTATACAAGCCTTAATCTTTTGCTAATCATACTTTAAAACAAAGACTCATGCAATGATATGCTGTATGTGATCAGCCTGTATGAAAATACTGTGTTTCTTATCAAATGGATCAACATGAAAATAAACAAAAAAGACCCCTTGTTATATTCCCACCCTCCCACTCCCCTCCAAAAAGGATAAAAACCGTCTCTGTGAGGTGAGATTTGTGTGCCTTCTGAACATGTAGGCAAGTTTATTTTAGCCGTACGTGTGGCATGTTCAGCAATTCGGTGCTGCCAGCAGAGGGCGAGGATGCCTGACCGTGGGCCAGGCTACGGTTAGAGCCCTGGGACCCTGCCCTTGCTCTGCTCCCTGTACTCAGGAGCTCCGAGGAGTAGGTGTGGCACTCAGCAGTCCCCATTGACAGGAAGCCAAGTCCTTGCGTCTCTATCTCCCTGTCGCTGATAAAGAGGTCTTCCTCACCCCATCCACCTCCACCACTCCTTCCCATACCACCTCCTCCCCCAGGGTCTTGACTACAGCTGTGGAAGCCAATGGGGGAGTCACTGCTTGTACTGGGGCTTGGAGATGAGAGGCTGTGGCTGTGGTGGGCGTCCTGGACAGGTCCCGGTGCTGCCTGCATCAGGTCCTGCACTGACATGGACTTGCCCAAGCCTCGGTCCATCTGGTTGGGGCCAGAGCAGCAGCCCAGCGCTGGTGGCACCAAGGGCTGCAGCTCCAGGCTCATATGTCTCCTCCAGGAGCCCTCCTCCTTTGTGTTTAGCCTGCCATTGCTGTTGGTGCTGCCCTGTAGCTGCTGTCCCAGTCTGCCCAGTCCCAACCCAAGACCAAGGTCCTCCCCAACACTGCTGTCCTCCATCTGCATCCCTAAACTCCCACAAAAGTCCTCCATGTCGGGGGACGCTTCTGTGGAGGTCGCTCGTGGCAAGTTGCTCGGGCCCCCACTTCGGCTGGGAGGAGGTGGCGGTGGAAGCCTCGCCAGGAGAGGAAACCCACCATCTCTGACTCCTCTGCCCCCGCCACTGCTGACACTATTCGGGGTGAGGATGGGTGGAGAGCTCCCCACAGCCTCATCAGTGCCACTTTCAGGTGTGGTGGCCTGAGCTTGGGTCTGATGACGGTGGGGATTATGAGGATGATGATGGTGGTGGTGGTGGTGATGATGGTGATGAGGCAGCGGCGACGGGCTGAAAGAGGAGGATGCGAGTCCGGAGGGTGGTGTGGAAGAGGAGGCATTGAGATTGAGGTTGAGCTCGTTGGGTGGCGCCAGGATGAGGTGGAGTCCTCCCTGGGAGAGGTGGGAGTTGGTGGAGGAGTGTGTGACGCAACCGCCAGGGGGAGGAGCTCCGCTGCTGACCTGGGTGGAGCAGGACAGGTCCTTGCTGAAGACAGAGGAGTGGTAGTCTGAGGTCTGCTCCAGCTCGAACAGGGGCAGAGAGGAGAGCGTGAGTGCTGAAGACGAGCCTTTGCGCAAAACCTGACGATAAATGTCGAGCAGGGAGTCGAGCTTTGACTCAATCGACTGGACCTGTAAGGACAGAAAGGGAGGACGGAGTGAGGAGCGTAATTACAAAACAAGACAAGAAAAATAGTGGGGGAGGAAGATATTTTATAACCACTGTGCAGAAGTTTTGTATGCGGTTATTACATCTATATGAAATCTAAATTATTCTGGCAGCATAAGGGGTGGGGAGACACAATATCTAAAAGTTCCACAAATGGTTACGTAATAAATGAAAAGTGGGTGTGAATGTTGGATTGTTGGTTGCCTTACAGAAATTGTCAGACACAATAAACAATATGGGTAAATAATATATTTGCTTTTTTTGTGATGTGAGAACTCAGGTCTGTGTCTGTGTGTCCTCCAAAGGGGAAATTCATGTCCACATCACTGTACCTGCAGGCAACACCATACACTCAACAAAGAAACACGCTATCCACAATTAACAAATCTGAGATGGCCCCGTTGTTTAGTTCTGGGAGATTGGGTGTGGGGAGTCTTGGCCGCTGTGTTGGTGATGCGTGTGAATTTTGTCCGGTTGGTGACAGTTAGCATGTTGTAGAAACAGGAGGAGCAGTATATGAGGAGGGGCTGGATGATACTTTGATACAGTAGTAGGAGAAGATGGGGGGAAACATAAAGTCCTTTGAGTTTACTGATGGCAGATAGTCTTTGCTGGCTCCTTTTGAAGATGTCAGTGGTGTGTTGGTTGAAACTAAGTTTATTGTCCAGTGTTACTCCAAGGCATTTATAGGTATGCAGCTGTAGGCGGTAGGCGATTAGCCTAGCTTAGCATAAAGACTGGAAGCAGGGGGAAACAGTTAGCCTAGCTCTAACTTAAGTTAAAAAAAACCCTACAAACACAACAAAAGCTTACTAATTAACATACTGTACGTTATTAGGAATGAACGATAATTATCGGCCATAATGGAACATTTGTATTATTATTAATTATCGGGATAATTAAATTATAGACTATAAATGATTGGTCCATAATAAGGTGTTGTTAGGCATATTTTGGACACAGCCAGGCTAATTGTTTCCCCCTGCTTCCACTCTTTATGCTAAGCTAGGCTAAGCATATCCTCATCTAACTCTTGGAAGCCAGTAATAAAAAAAAAACTCCCCTGCTTGACCCTTTTAATTCCAGTCAAATTACATTTCCTGCTTATAACATAAGGGATATATTGGTTTTTAGCATGGTGATATATTACTAAACTATACATTGCGTAGGCCTCTAGTGTAATTTTATGGCTTATTTATCTCTATTATCAGTTCCTCCAGGATTTCGCAGGCTTTTTTTACGATTGTTGTGGCCTAAAATGCCTGACTTTAGAGCTTTTCTAAAACATTGCCATGTATGTTGTAATGGGTTTTTTTTTGCAAAGAAATTAAAGGAGAAAGTGAAAAGTACAATATATAAAAGTTGCGGAAAAGTTGCGATGATTGGACAAAATTGCTCTCTTAGAAAAGGAAATAACTATGACAGATTGTTCAATATACTATTAGAGATAAAACAAGAAGCAGAACACAGACCTGCCGCTCCACCTTACAGACGCGACCCAGCATGCTCATGTCCTCTAAAATATCTCCATCAGACAGCAACTTCTCTCGTATCTTCTTATCCAGAGGGATCTGGCCTTTACCGAGGATCTGGTCCACTCTGGAACACACACACACACACACACACACCCACACACACACACACACACACACACACACACACACACACACAATCACATGCAAACACATTAATGATTGGGAGAAATACAGTGACTAAGTAGAAATCCAGGAGGCAGCCCACAGAAAGGAAGGAAACTGCAACAGAATAATAGATTACCATAAGCACATTTTCTCCAACAAATACAGGCAAATGAGAGGTTGAAGAATCTGGTTAATAAAGTCTTGGTAAATGAACAGGGTTAAATTCAACAGAGGGCAGGGTTAAGCCAAGGCAACGTCATGCGATTATTGTCATGCACACACATTTTGGAGAAATAAATGATTAAAGCTTTGACACGATCCTCCAACACAAAACCACACTCGCTTCTAAAAGTGTCTTTCCTTGCATGTGTGTTTTTATACTTCTTGTTTTTATACTCCAGTATGTTTGGCTTGCTACTCAATGTGCTCATACCAGACAAATACAACATCACAGAAAGTGTTTTAACTAATTAACTAATTTGAAATTTTGTGATTAGCTAACACTAACCAGGTTTCCATTTAAATGTAGCGCAAATTTTAATTGAATTTCCAGAAAATCAGCAAAAGAAAATACAAGTGACTGTGTTTCCATTCACTATGGTTATGCAAATATTAGCTGTTGGGTACAGTGCAGTACAGTACAGTACAAACATGGATGGAAATATGGTATTTATGTTTGTTTCATGTATTTTTCCTTCATAATTAACATTTCTTATTAGTGTGTTTGTTACATGTATTCATTTGAGGAAAATAAGTCTTCTCATCGCTCTTTATCAATTAATCCATCAGAGAGATCAAAACAAATGTTGATATAGCTGAGTGCCGACGTTTGTTCCTGACCTTAAAAATAGCAGAACTCTTAACTCATGGTCCACTTGATATCTTTTTCCATCCTTTCATCTGCATCTCACAGTCTTACTAAGTAGATGGAGCTTGTGCAGTTGTCATGGAGAAGCTACGGGTTACAATCTATCCCAGTATTTGACCACACTCTAACATCACTTCAGTCCTGTGATGTCATCACCATGACAACTGAGCAAGCAATCTGTTAATGAGGACCTTGAGATGTGGTTGAAAACCAAAAGATAATTGGTTGACATTACTTATTTATTTATTTAATTTTTTTCCAAATCTGATCGGCACTCCGAGTATAAGATACAGGATGTAGTGCATGCAGCAGTCTGAGTCAACAGCAGGGGTCAGTATTACAGCAGCAACGGCAGGTACACTGCTGTTAGAGAATTTATTTTGTGTGGACGGGTGTGTGTTACGGAGGGTGTTTCTATGTGTTAGTATCAGGTTGTGAATTCACACAAACATCCCAGAATTCACCAGAACTTTATATCAGATAAAAACAGAGTGAATGCCAAAACCAAAGTCAATATATTGTTTTGTTAGTAATTTGTGATTGACTTCATATCCAGGCATTCTGACCCCTGGGTGGAGTTCTTTCTGCCCTGGCTGTAATAGAGAGGCAGGGAGGGGGAGGAAAAGGTCTTGGCTCGGCTGCTCAGGGTCTGTGGGCCTACTATCATGTCCAACCTGTGAGGGAAGCAAAGGCAACACACACACACACACACACACACACACACACACACACACACACGGGTACACATGCGCATACACATACATACAAAAATCACAAAATGCAAAGAACAAACACATACACAAACATCCGCGTAACATAAGAATAAACCCATGCATGTACAAGGTATGAGTGCAGGTGCACGCATACATGCAATCGAGATACAGATGAATCAGCTACAGTGGTCAAACAGCTCTGGTTAGACTAGTGGAATGAATCCTGTCAGCTGCTGCTGTCGTGCAGTCTGTCGTCATGCCTACCTGGTCTGCAGGCTCTTGATGCGACACAGCATGTCCAAGTGACCGGCAGAGTACTGTTCAATCACATCCTTGACATCATAAGGACGCAACGTCTCCTTAAACTTCTTCTTGGCTACATGGAACTTCATTATCCTGCACAGAGAGCAGCAGAGAGAGGTTCATAAATAAGGGGAGCTCTTATACAGTCAGTCCACACAACCCCGCAGTGACTCCTGAAGCTGAGATATTTCACAGACTGATGTAGCAAACAAAAGAAAAACACACCAAACCAAACAAATCTTTATTTCTCTTCTTTTTAAAAGTGCTCAAAATGTTTAACTGCATGCCAACTACCTGTTCCTTCACACTAATGCAAACACCTCAGAACACCTGAGCAATCATTTCATTGGAACTTAAAAAACGTCCAGTGAGGTTGGGGCTGCTTATTTTAGCTGTGTGAGTGTAAAACACTCACACAGAAAAAGCAGCTCTCTGAATATGTGCACCTGTGGAGCCTTGAGGCTAAATTCAAGGGAATCTGGCAGAATGCGTGAGTATCTGAGTGGAGAGGAGAAGGGGTCAGCAAGGACAGAAAACTGTGCCTGACAGTAACACTGAAGTTAGAGGTCCAGTGTGTAACATTTTTAGGAGGATTATTAGCAGAAATGTAATGTAATATTTATAGGTATGTTTACATTAGTGTTTGATCATCTGAAAATAAGACAATTTGTGTTTTCATTTCCTTAGAATGAGCAGGTTTTTTTTATCTACAGAGTCCTCTTCTTTTTATCTTTGGATATCCATGTTGATCGCTGTTTCTACAGTAGCCCAGAATGGACAAACAAACACTGCTTCTAGATAGGTCCTTTCATGTTATTTGCAAGTTTTGCAGCCACTGTAGTTTCTCCTACACTCTTGGAAGGCAAGAGGTAATCAGTCTTTTGCACTCTGCAATTTCACTGCTAGATGCCACTAAATCCTACAAAATGCAACAGCAACATATCGTTATCATTGCTTTTAATAGAAGAAATAAACCGCAAGGCTTGATAGCACCTGAGATAAGTGCAGCGGTGGAATTATTGTACGTTTTAAACTACATTTCTCTGTCTTGTTGCTTTGCAGAGATAGAGTTTTCATACAAAATGTTAAAAATAAATTGTAAAATATGAAGAACTGCTGAAGCTTTAACTTCCCAACAGCATTTAAAGTACTTAAAATGAGCTTCATCCCATCCAACTAACAGTAAAATGTTGCTTACATGTTAATCAGTAATAATAATCAAATAATATGATAACATAACACCAACAGGGGCCACTCTGTTCCATAATGACAGCTTTAGTTTTTGATACTTTAAATATTTTATTTTATTGACATACAGACTATTAATGTGGAACTTTTACATGTAGGGAGTATTTTTCCATCGTGGCGTTGCTACTTTTACTAACAAATTTTCCTTTGTAAGTGAGAAAATATATTTGGGTGAACTGACCCTTTAACCCAGAATATCTTTATATGAACTTTATATGAAGTTTTACACCTTATGCTCCAACATACATATGATTCACACAATTCAGCCCTGTTAACCTTCATTAAGAAATCTATGATGACTTGTTTGATCCCTGATTAATATTATATATATGTTTGTCACTCATGAATTGGCACCAAAATGGTGTTGTTTTTGCAGTTCATAGAAGAACAGCAAAATGTTGAAACATAACTTGAGTTGTTCAGTTCTGCCATAGAGAAATTTGTTGTAAAGTTTTGTTTACAACAAATGTTGGTTGAGTCATATTAATTATAAATGAGAGTCAAACTTAATCTTTAATTTACAATATAAACCTTGCAGCCATATACAATCTTACATCTAATCTTTTGTTAAGATTTGTTCTTAAAACAAATTGAACAGCTCAACTATAGTTTAAATGTATTTAAAGCTGCAGTAGGTAATTTTGATGAAAATAACTAAAGAATCCACCAGGCCTGAACGAAAACGACCAATCAGAGCCAAGAAAGATAGTTGATTGTTTCTTTTAGGACACATCATCTCTAAGACCCAACCCGTCCTTGTGATAGGATCACTTTACATAGCTTTGCAGTGCTAATACTCGCCCTAACCATGTTTCCTGTCTCTCAACAATCACATGAAGCAAAGATGATCTATAAATATCTGAAAAAGAAAAAATCTTGCAGTCACTTTAATCCCCTGAGCATGTTCAATCAGGAGAGCTGTTAGAAGGCAGGGGGTTGCAATCAAGCTTTGTTTGCATGCCACCTTGACAGAAGAGAAAAACAGTATTAGTTGGGTTGAAGGAGGTAGTCTCATTTCCTGTGCCTCACCTGACAGCTCTAATGACAGACTTGACTGAGGGCAGCAAGTCCTCCACCGAAATCTCGCAGTGACAGCCCTTGTCATCAAAGCCATCCTCCGCTGCCATGTTGGAGTCTGCTGCTTGACAGAGAGGATACAGAAAAGGAGAAAGGGCTATTTAGACTGTTCAGTGATAGACATCACCAACTATATATATATATATATATATATATATATATATACATTTCTTGCACGCACATTATTAATATTAGACCGCTACTGTATATTCATAGCTCTATCCTCTAATCTGTACTGCTGTACATATTTTCATCCATGCCACTTCCTCTCGCTGTGACCTGTGCAATGTTCCTTATCAGTCACATCTGTACATAAAAAGCTATATATACTGTACATATAACTCTAATGTGTATTTTTTTATCTATTGTGTTCTATCTGGAGCTGCTGTAGTGAGTACATTTCCCCAGTGTGGGATCTATAAAGTCTATCTTATCTTATCTTAACAATATTTTACATGAATACAAAAACACACACACACACACACTCTGACAATGCATTCACATGTGTTGCATTAGTCTCTCTTTCAGTTTACATTCAGTCAGTGATCAGATTTGTCCCGCCCACCTCCAAAAAGCATCTGATTTTATAATCAGTCCTCCCTGCATGGCTGGAGAACATTTGTATTCTCCCAATCCCTGTTTCACTTGCAAATTACAACCTAAGCAAAATTTTGCAACTAATTATTGCCAAACAATGTGATGTTTTGTGATGTGAAACTTGCAGCAAAAGCAAAAGCTGTACTGTTAGATTTTGTTTTGCTTAGTTGGGGTGGTGGAACAACCTGAAAAATACACAGAATGCTTGAGTTGGAATGAAAATAGACCTTTTCTATGTGGATGGGCTGCTTTTTTAAACAAATACCTTTATTAAAAAACAAGTTAAATATTCAATACTGATATTTCTGCGATAAGACAATTTCAGCCAATAATATATACAGGCCGGGCTCTGATTGGCATATTGTCATTTTTGGAAAATGTGCTACCGAATTGGAGCTGGAGCAACATTAGCTTTCATTTAGAGTCGGTTTACATCCATCTGATGAATGAGGCCAAAAAAAACAAAAAAATGAGCTCAAAGATGCTAAAATGCTCTGTAGGACTGCACTACATGTGATATCTTTTTCATTACACATACACATACACATACACACTGTAGTTGTGTAGCAGATACGTCTACACCCTCAACATCTAGTGGCATTAACTGGGTTATTCATAATTTTTAAAGTAAAAAAAGAAAGCCAAGTTTTGGGTTTAAATGGATCTTTATCAAAGATTACTGAATGGTGCCTGCAGACACACGGCATCAAATGAACTGAACTGAGAAAGAAAGACAAAGACATTATTCTGATGGATAGAGAGAGAAAGAGTGTGTTGACTGTCGTCTGGAGCAGCAGATTAGCAGTAAAGAACAGGTCTCTGGTGTGAATGCAGATATATAGCTAACAATGCAATGCAGCTCTGTTTATGGGATTTCTGAGTTACAGCACCCTGAGGAGCTGAAGACAGGGTTACAGTACAAGAGCTGGGCTGCTTCTTCTGTTGTATTAAGCATCGCTTTATAGATCATATAGGATCTGCATATGCTGAATGTATGTGTTTGATACACTGAGTCTTTAATAAGATAGAGAGTGACCAGGATAAAAAAAAAAACATAGATTCTAAAATAACTTCTTATTTCAGTTCAAATTAAGTCATAATGAAAGGGAAACGTTCCCCATCCTCTTCAGCTAGCCAACATGTCAGTGGCAGTAAATGATCTGACGGAGCATGGCTAACCCGCAAACCAGTTTGGTTTTGGCTAGCTTGGTTATTGATTCCTCTCCACCAGCAGGGCTCAGCCAGCTGGCTGGCTCTGACACCCCATATGGCTGCTGGAGCTCACCACCCCCACCGTCCATCAATCCATCAGTCCACCCACAAACACCAACTGGACCTTACCCAGGAGGGCTTGCCAGGCCGGCACTGCTAGGCCAAAGGAAGGAAGTGCAAAAGACCATTAGCATTCCTCCACTCAGCTGTCTGAATTTGTGGGCAAAACCAGTTGTGGTGGCTTGGTTGGTCGCCCTATACACCTCGATTAAATACATGTAGTGAAACTGGGGGATTCAGTCTTATCTAGAGGATGAGTTCAAAATGATTATTCACTTTTTTTTGCCGAGAGTTCGTTAAATACGAAGTTACAGCTAGAAAACAGTTAGCTCAGGACTGGAATCATGGGAAAACAGCAAGCCCGGCTCTGCCTGAAGGTAAAAAATACCACCGCCGTAGCTCACTATTTCATTGCCTGGCAGACTCACCGTGGAAATAGTCCAGCACACAACCCCCCCATAAAACCATGTTTAGATTTGACACTTTTTTTTAAAGATGTAAGGTGTTAATTAATGAGCTTTAGAGGTGTTGATAGGAGGATTTTTTTTTACTTTAGTCAGAGACTAAGCTACTGTAGCTGTTTCTGGTCTTTATGCTAAGCTAAGCTAACCACATCCTGGTTACTGTAGCATATATCACAGACAGGCATGTGTGTGGTATTGACCTCTAAGTGTCATGGTTTTGGGGTTTATTTATTTTTGGTTTTATGTTGAAAGAGTCCTTCCTCGAAAGTCTTGTGTAACTTCTTGTCTTTGTCTTTTTCCATCAATAGTGTATTTAGTTTACGTGTTCCCTAGTCTTAGTGCCAGTTCATCTTTACCCATATGTGACTGCTTCTCTGGTATTGACCTCTGCCGGCCTCACCATCCCATAAGCTTTGTCCCTGTCTTATAATCAGGAAAAGATGAAATTATTGAACCTCTGCACTGCTCTGCCTCTACGTAGTCTGCATTTTGGTTCAATCTCCTTAATAGTTTGATAAGTGTGACACTAAGTCTAGGCAAGAAGGTGAACAAATGCTGAACTGTTCCTGTTTCATTACTATTTCACTGGAATAAAAAACAATTTTTGGTGTAGTTCAGTGGAAGTACTGTGCCAATCACTGTAGATGGAGAGACTGACAATAAATTCTACCTTGAACTGCTAATGAATCCAAAGCAAAGGCAAACATTGTCAGGGAGTGGAATAATGGGACAGAGTCACTCACCGTCAGTGGTGGAGCGCGACTGGCTCTTAAGGCGGAGTGAAGGTCTGAAGCGCGTGCGGTCGTTGAAGCTCCAGCTCTTCTGTACCTTGGCAGGGCTGGTACCCTCTGTCCCGGCCTCGGCCACCGGAGACCGCCGATCGTTCATTGACGACGTCTGCCTGTTCTTGATGCTCTGACCTCGGGGGCTCGCCAGCCTCACCCGCTCCTTGAAGCTCAATTTCTGACTGTGGAGTGAAATGGGAGATGAACAGAGGTGCAGAGGGGAGTTGGAGTGAGGAGAGGAACAAGAAGGGAGTGATGTTGTGAAGAGGTGGAATGACAGACAGATACGATATAAATTACCCAAGACTTTTGGCAAAATGCTATTCCTTTACATGGTCTTATGTGGCAGTCATCATTCAGAACTTTATCCACTAATATAAAGATGGAGTACTAGCAGGGCAAGATGGAGAAAGACTAGCATGCATTGCAGCATTAAAGCAAGTGCGTTACATTAAATGCAAACTCGGGTTAGGTATGATGCCTCGACTGCGTGTGCACGTTTGTTCCTTGATGTGTTGACGTTTTCATGTTTTTGCCCCCTTCAGTACATCAGCTGTCATTCTATGTGCAGGATTAGTTAGCATGTTGCTAAAATGGGCACACTGTTATATTAAATTAAATGTCATTATACTTAACATGATTTGTGCTGATAGCATGATATGTTACGTACCATGACATGATTTCCATGGGTCATGAAAGGGTGAAGGTATGGAAGGACAAAGATTACTTGTGCAAAGTGAAGAAATGGAATGTTGAGAAAGTAAGGGAGTGGTTGATTTGTGCTTATGCAGCTATGTATAATGACTGCATGCAGGGACAGTGCACAAGCGTCAGGCGTGGCTCATTTAAAAGTGGTATCATATATTGGATTAAACATGTGTTGTGTTACATCAAATAATGAGGCTTGTATCTATATTTTTCTCATTGTCAGTTAATCTAATGAAAAGACCAAAACCAAAAATCAATACTTTGTGACCTCTCAACCCTCTCTGTGGCACCAGCTTTTTGGTTCCTGCTGAAGAAGTTAATCTTCAAAAAATAGGCCACAAATATATGATTTTATTTTTTAAAAGGGCTCAGTAATTTCCTGAAAATGAAGGGTACACTAGGTTTTAAGAAAATTACTGTGGGCTAGGCATAAATAGTGCATTTGTAAGAGACTATTTTCGGTGGTGGATTAATACACATTTGAGGCACTAGTGAGGACTTTAGGAATTGAGAGTAAATATACTACAGTAGTAGTTCCTGTTAATAAAGGAACACCCAGTGCAACAGCGGCTCATTGATCTGTTTTCGGACAACAGAGCTCTATGGCTACATGGGAATACTTAGTAGGATCTATACATTGCATGGTTTTTGTCTTTTCATTGGATTTGTTGACGAGAAAATATATAAAATATCACCAGACTTATGTAGTGTTGTGGAGGCACATGATGTGTGTTTGAGTGACAGCAACATGTCATCACAAGCTTAAGGGATAGAGTTTAAGTTTGTATCTGATATATTGGGAGTGGAGTGTGATATGTAGTTCAGATACAACACCTGGAGCTGCTTGAAGAAAAGAGAAATTAATGATGTACAACAGAAAATCTAAAATCATCTCTCTATGGTCAGGAAAAAAGTTTACAAATGTTAATTATCTTACAGGATCTACTACTGAGAATGAAACCTGGAATAAATATTCTGAGAGCAAATGTAGTTCAAACCAAAATCACAACAGGCAGAAGTAGCGCATTGCTCAGGCAAAGATCAAACAAAGGCAGATAGTGTATCACTGTTAAAGCGACTGATGTCTCCCTGCAATATTTAATTGCTCTGCACTCTCTGTGGCTGCACAGCCTCCTACAGATACCCATGCACCAAGAATTAGTCAGCATTCCCAAAAAAAAAACGTCATGTAACAGGGGAGCAGAAACGCTGTGTACCTATGTTTCCGAGTGGAACGCCTCCTCAGTAGCTTCTGTTTATTACTATGAATTTTACTAAAGAAATCAAGGGGAGATAGACACACGTTGTGTTACATGATGCAGAAACAGAGGAGAGAACATATTTGTGATTTAGGTTTTTTGAGGGGAAACAAAAAGCTTCCTTATTTTTCTTTTTACCCATATTACTTTGTGCTTCTTGCTACTAATTTCTTGTTTTATGTTGCATTACGTTGACCTGAAAGCCTGACCTGTAAATGCAGTGATCCTTCGTAAGACTGCATGTATGAAGGCTATGAAGTATAACGTAATATAGCAGGGTGTCTATTGGCACTTCAATTTGTCGACCACTGACATTTGGAAGCAGCAGAACAGAGGCAATTGAGCTTAGTAGAGGAAAATGAACATCTACAGCACCATTTGAAAAAGGCTGCAATTTGGTGACTCATGTACTTCATGTCGATATCGCTCATTTGACTATGTGAATTCAGCTGGGCCGTGGCAACAAGTGCCTGAGTCACCAGTGTGAGGCCAGTAACCTTTGGACAGATGCTTGTGGGTTCACTAAGGGTGTTAAGATGCAGACCTTTTTTTTTTGTCGTATAGCTGTGTTTTGTCATTACACTTCTGTGATGCATTGCTTTGAAGAATAAATCCAGCTAATAAATAACGTAAGGCAGGTCCACTGTGGCTTTCAGCCTCCTCTCCAGCTCTGCAGTGGAGATGTAAATCGGGAGTCGGGGGTTTGCAAAGAAGAAAAAAACCCCATAGGTGGAGGCTGGAGCTCTCCTCCCTTGTTCTTAAGACACGGTTAAGACTGTGTGGGATGAATTCTGTTGCCAGTGTGCAGGCGAGACTGACTCTCTAAAATTTCAATCTACTTAATTTGGTTATTTATTTTATTGACTTTTCACATTCTTTGGCTTCCACTGAAATGGATTATAGTTAAAATATGACACCAGGCTCAAAGGAAAAACTGCCTTCAGGTTGCTGTGGTGCTTTGCAGACAAAAACGTTTACTCAGTGTTTCATAACTGCAAACACAACATATTACGTCACTCAGCCCTCACTGCCCTGCATGCTGTCCTCCCATAATGACTCTAAAAATGCATAAGCTGAAAGACTAACATCAGGAGCACTGATATTAGGAAAATTGGCAACAGCTGATACAAAAAATTTAATTTCTAATAAGAGTATAATAGATATTTGAGGCAGGAGGGTGGTTAAAAACTAGACTGTGTATGTGTGGGTATGTGAATGATTGTATTTAAGTGCCTCAGCATGTGCATGTATGCATGTTTTGTGGAGGAGAACAAGAAAGATAAAAAAAGAATAGACAGACGATAGCACCAAACAGAAAGGTAAAACAGTGTTTTAAGCTGGACTCGCCATTAGCAGGTCCACATTTCCTTACTCACAGCCTTGAACACCTCCAGTAAGAGCAGTAAGAGCAAAAATACGTAGGTTTGATACCCAGCCCTACCCTTAAATTGTGGAACTACAACATAATGGAAGACAGTGAATGTTCAGTGAAACAGCCGTCACAAACCTTGTGGTCGACTCTCCCTGCTCCTTCCTAGAGACGACAGATGAGGAAAGGAAGAAAAAAGATACAGTATATTAGAAAGCATCTTTTTATTTCAGTTCAACACTGCGCTTAAAGGACGATACATGTGCTTGTGCATGTTTTAGCCCATTTACTACAAACCACAAATACTTTGCATTACAGCTACATTATTGTTATGAGGTAATGAAATCTATTTTAAATCAATCTATACTTTAACTGTTCAAGTATAATCAAAGATGGACAAAATGCAGACTTTATGTTCATGACGATGGATTGCACAACTCAAGCTTGTTTCAAGAGTCTGCCTGCTTCCAATTGCAGGAGTTGTAATTGATTATAATACTATACAGAAATTGATGGAAATCAATGGACGCCTGGACCTTTAGGAATTAAAATCAAACAAACAGCATAGTTTGTATTGAAAAATAGTGGGCAAAGATTTGTGTTATACATGATTTGTAGTTAAGGCTAAAACCTGCACATACACCGGTATGGTCCTCTAAATCAGCATGATAGGAATATTTTTGCATTATAGGCTTTGTCAGCAACTGCTGCACAAGGGTAGCAACACATCCATCAATAATAAGCATTCCAGGAGAAATTTAACAAATAGCAGGCTCACTACAAACATGCAGGTCAATGCAAACTAAGGAAGCACTTGCAACAACAGAATAAATGACTGAGCAGCCCAGCCTCATCAAATGGCGAAATTAATAAACATTATACTTTCAAATTGTGCGAAGTACATACATCGAAGTTCAATTTTGCAAGCAGGAGATACACCAAGTCTTCCCATTGACTTCTGTATAATAATAACTAACAATAACTAATATAAAAAGTGTCGAAGTCCATGTATGGAGGAGGTTGGGCTGGATGGATGTGTCACACAAATACAAGACTTTGACCCAGGAGACAGTGATTCGTGTCCCGTGTGAAACTACAAGTAAAGGTTGACCTATTTTAATGTACATACATAAGTTGACTTACATACCATATAGAACTTCCGGCATGATCTTTTCCTAAACCCAACTAAGTCGTTTTGGGGACTAAACCTAACCACACATGGTACCATGATGACAAAGTTCATCTTCTTCATTTCCTGTACATCCAAAATCCACAGAAGGTAAAGGGAAGGACTGGCATATAACCTGCACGCAAATTTGGACTTTTGAAAGTCTAAAGTTATTTTTTTACACAAATTGAAGAGACCAGGTTGGACTGAGTAACTGAATATCTGTTCACTTAATTAAGTGTCTTCAGAGTGTGTTTTTTGTAAATTAAGTTTATTATAACTGTATAATTGTACACTTTATGCCTTGCATTAAGTGCATTATACATTTTCCCAATATTCCCAGGCTCCATAGATGGATTTCAGATTGACATTATTGTGACATGCAAGCGCATGCAGGTGTTTGATTGGGAAATCAACATCAAAAGTGGTTTTTTAAACTGTACAAATGGATGGAAAATGTTCCATATCCCAAGAATGAACATCCTAGTTAGCTGAGAGTGTAGACTTAGCTAGCATCTAGCATCTAGCAATCTGGTCAGAGCCATTGATATTAATGAGGTGATAGTGTTAAACAGAGGCTGGTAACACATCACACATCTAATGTATGGTATATTTAGATGGAAAAAGTTAATACACCCAGACATTACTCATATAATATTACCTTCTGTGCTCTTAACGTGTGCGTTAGGCAAACAGTGGGAATTTCATATATGCTAACGTAGCGTAATCTGTTTTAATGCTAACATTATATGTATGAGGACGGCCTTTCTACTGTTAACCTGCGCTGTCCGTTGATGGGTTGGAACACACACAGTTAATTTCTCACTAGCTGGAAGAGCTAACTTAGTGTTGTCTAGGTTAGTGAGATTATTGCTGCTGTTTCTCACTGGGATTTCATGTGTCATTTCTTGGAAGTCGCTGTATTGGAATAGCTATAAGCTGCTATTGCAAGGAGTTTTCTAACCCCTGCTGCGTGTACATAGCCTACTTGAAGTGGGAAATGTCTATAATGATCTATACTGAAACCTATTGTATGATGGATAACAAAGCCCACCAATTTAAGGAGTTTTAAGTGGATTTAAGTGCTACAAATTCAAAAAAGCTTGATTGGCTCATTGAGGCCACAATTGCTGCCATAAATAGATATGCCAGTGAGGATGAAAGCAGGGTGAAATTTCTGCCTCAGTCCCTGAAAGTGATATCAATCCCTGGACCACTGAGCATTCAACACTGTCTTAGGTGAAACACAGAGAGCCTGCCTCAGTGTGAATGCAGTGCAGGGATAAAATGTCCATTTATATAATAGCAGCAAAAATGAAGGGTTGTTTAAAGATGTCTTAGAAGTCAGCAATTTTTGTTAATTCAAGCAAGCTGAGATTAAGTGAGCCTGGAAATCAGTCTTTTTGATGGCTGTGAACCAATTTCTCACAAGAAATGATAGAATCAGTGCATTTGTATTTTCAATAAAGAGAGAAAAGCTGATATATTTAAACAATAAGACAGAAAGTATAAAAGAAGATTTCAAAAAAGATCACATAACTTAAAATGTACATAACTGAAGTACAGGAAAAGATGGCTAGAGTGGCACAGACACCAAATACAGACACCAGCTGCCATAGTTGTACCTACTTTGTAGGGCTGCAGGTATGCAACGCCTTCAAGTGAGGCTTCCAGGTAGCAATGGAAACCGAGTTCTCATCAGCCGCATAACTACGCCAAACACACTGCATGCAGAATATACAAAACCAGGAAGAAGAAAAAAGTACCAAGAAGAGGCCCCCCCAAAAAAAAATTTAAATAAATAAATACAACAAAAACAAGGCAGAGGAAGGAGGAGGAAGAAGAGAGTAGAAAAGAAAACAAATAAAAAGCTGATTAGTGAAACCAAAAAACAGGTGTGTCACACGTCTGGCTGGGCGGAGGTCAGGCATGGATACATGCCTGTGGGAAGGCAGGAGGCTCTCATAGTGCCGCCACGTGGCGTCCAGGTAGGGCCTGATGCTGTCGGTGGAGTAATAACGCCACGCAGCCTGGTACAACATGGGGACGAACAGGATGAAGAGGAGGAGGACACAAGAGGGGGTGGAGGTCAGGAAGGGGAGGGATGGGATTATAAAGTGAGAGAAAGATTCAGGGAAGCCAGAGAGGAAGAAAATTGAGAGGCATGTGGGAGGAAAGTAGGTGAGAGATCAGAGGAAGAGAGGGAAGCGTATGGAGAAATATGTGAGGAGGACAACGTGAGGTCAGGAGCACTCATATTCAGCATGAAATAAAAAGGCGTGTGTGAAGATCAGGCTGGAGAAGAAGGAAATGTGTGAAGCAGACAAGAGGGGGATGGCAAGAATGGCTTTGCCAAACTGGTGTTTCTGGGCTTAAACACAATACAACACAATCTAGAAGGGGCAAAAAAACCTTTCCAGAGATTAGAGAGATTACTGCAGAGTGAGGATGAGGGGTACAGGGCTAGGCAGAGTAAAGGTACATGCTATTGATTGGGCAGTTTTAGGGTTTTGTTGAATCCACGGAGGAAAAAGAGAAACTGGAGAATGATGAAATCATTTAGGGCTGTTAAACATGTTATATTATGCAGACATTCAGTTCACTAATACGCTTTGGTGTGTAGTTTCGAATAACAGGACAAAATCATAATAATTATGTTTTTATTCAATGTTCCATGTGTCATGTGTGTCAGAGAACCAGAAAAAGAGCAGGCTGGATGCTTTACCTGGATGAGGTATGCGGCCGGGTTTCTCCTTTTCTCAAAGTGCTTCTGTCTGTGCTGCTCCTGGACCTTTAGGGCAAAGCCTGAGCCCAGAATACCCTGGTATGAAATTAATAGGAATAAATACTGGATGCATGTATAGGAAAGTACAGTATATCATCATTCTTGTGAAAGTGCTGATCAAAACATTGCACAACACAGCCACCAAAGATTAAAAAAAATATGCACAAGTGGCCTTTAAATAAAGTAAGAATTCTACAAATTCAGTTGAGTCACTTCAAGTCTTATTAAAAGCCCTTCTGTGGAAAGTGGAAGAAAAAGTAAATGTACATCTTCTAGAATTTCAATCAATGAAATGAAAGTAAATAGTCCCCTCAGGTAAACCTCATAGGCCTGCATTTAAATAATAGAAAAAACATATCAAATCAAATGACTTGCTGTGTAAGTAACAAGTAAGGCGTGGTAAAGTGATATGTCAGAATAACCCTAGAAAATCTGCCTACTCTCTGACATTTAAAGGACAAAGGAACACAGACTTACTGCTGGCAAGGCAAAGAACGAGATGCCCAGGAGGGCAAACCCTGCAGACAGCATGCGTCCTGTCCACGTCTTTGGTGTCTTGTCCCCATAGCCAATGGTTGTCAGGGTGATCTGTGAAACCAAATTACTTGTCATCTGGTCCTAAAGGATGCTCATTATTTAGGCTCTGGCAATTTATACAGACGAGAGAATTTTTTGTCTAGAATAAAATCAACATCAACCTCAGCACATAAATATCACAAAACAATTTCTCTGATTAAAAGTTCCCATAGACATACTTCAAAATCTCAACATCAAGAAACGACCCACATGGCTCCATCAGAGTGAATCATTTTTGAGGTGTGTATGTGTGATTTGGATTAATTAGTTGTTGTTCTTTAACAAAAAGAAAAGAAAAAAACATTAAGATTCACATGTATCACACTTGGCTGAAAATCCATCTGCTGGTTACACAGCATGTATCTAAGTGGGCTGCACTTAACATGGCAGTTTTCTTTTTGAATAACACAGATGATTAAGGACTGCTCTAAATTAACCGAATATTTTCAGTATCTGCCTTTATTTTCCTTTGACTAGTTTGAGTTAAATGTATTTTTTTCTTTTGCATAATGCTTGAGTTGAAATGATGCCTTCAGGCAGTGTAATCACATCTGAGTGATTAGACCTGTGTGGAGCTTTTACAGGAGTAGGTCTATGTGGCCTTGGTTCACTTTTGGAAATGCTTATTTTGCCTCGGTAAAAAAACCCCACAGTGTGTGTGTTTTTGTTGTTCTATATGTATGAGTATATACATAAGTCTATAATGATAATCTGTGAAGACACAATAAGAGGCCATTTTGACAATATTACATCCCTGACTGACTAAAATTACTTGATGAAAGAAGGAGCCAGTGGATGGTGTTTTAATAAAAGAATAAACAGAGTTAATTGTGATAATGATTCATAGTGGTGGTACTTAGCACATCTGAATGTGACCACTGAATAGAGCCATTCACATGTGTTCAGCAAAAGCATGAAAAGGAGCCTTTAATGCAGTGTATTCACTATTTAATGACAGGAGTAAATAGACCTAGCTGTGAACTGGAATCACTGCTTGAATTACTCTGCTTGCATTCAGTCTGTCAGTCTGTTTTATCTGTCTACCTATAAATACATGCATCTATCTATCTCTCTGTTTTGGCAGAGTAATCTCTTTGGATCGTCTTTCATTCAGGCTCTGATTCCCTTGCATGACAAAGGTGGCTGCAGCCATTTGGTACTATTATGATTTCTTGAGCCAGTATGAAAATGGTGGTTAATGGAGCGGTGCAGGGCTGATGCTTATGGAGGAGCTGTCAATGCTCGGAGGCAATGACAAACTGAACAGCATAAAATATTATCCGATTTCCAGCGTGAAAGAGTCCACGAAATCCTACACATAGTTACAGATATTGGAGGTGAACTGGTAGGAATTAAAACATCTGTTAAAGTCATAATCCTGGCAGGGAGAGCAACAGATATTCCTCCAAACTCACCGTGCCCCACCACAAAGCATCAGCGTAGGTAGCAAACTCCTTGTTGAACTTGTTCTCCACAAGGTAGACGAGGAATGAAGAGAAGATGAGAACCAAGAAGCCGATGTACCAGGCGGTTACCAGCTCCTGCAGGCAGAGGTCAAACCGACTTTCAGAGTGTAATCATTGGAAAAGAAGCACAACCACTTTAGCATAATGAACACTCACTGCTGATCAACCTTAATCTGCTTTTATATGAACTTTAGGGACAAAACTGTCTATGTAATAGAATGATCCGGTGATACAAGGGAAACTGATGACCCTCTATTGAATCTAAGTACACTTAAATCACTGGTAATTATTTTCTAACACGCAGCTGTCCCTTGTGCTTTTACAGTAGGGTGAGAGTGTTTCATAGACCTTAATACATACTTAATTAATTCTAGCTTCAGCCGGACAAATAGTCAATTCTGATGTAGATGAATATTGTACCTATTCTACCATCTACCTAGTGAATCATGTTTAAAGTAATAACACGCCAAAATGTAATACATTTTCACTTCAACACTGCATTTTATAATAAACAGCATGAATGCAATATGAAATACATTACCCCATGTTTTGATGAAAATGTAATAATATGGTGCATTATGTAATAACCACCCAAAGTGGATGTCTTCATCTGTACACGTTATTTTCAACAATTAAACTAAATTCAACTTCCCAAATATTAAATTAGACTCCTATGACCTGTGGTGCCCCCCTTAGCATTATAGTTGACTCTGGCAGCTGGCCTCCTTAACAAGGCCTGGATTACCCACTGTCATTGACTCTTATACCCACCCTGTATATACAGTATGCATTACATTAATGCACCCACGCTCTTCTGCTCAGCTTTCTCTTTCTCTTCTTATCTTTATCTATTTATTTTTTGAAAGTACTTTATTTTTCTGTGTGATTTCTGTGTGATTTCTGTGTGATTTAAATTTGAATAATTGTATATTTGTATATTTGTATTTGTATATGTATATATTTTTATGCACCAACTGCACCAGGTCACATTCCTCGTAGGCATAAAAACCTACTTGGCAATAAACAAATTCTGATTCTGATTCTGATTCTGATTCTGATTCTGATCAGCTTGCTCTATCTCTCTTACACATACAAACTCAGGGACTTCATGTCAAATGCCAACTGCTGCTCCCCAAAAAGACAATCAAAACTGCTTTATAAAACGCTCAAAAAAAGATTATAAAAAGTGCTAGCTCACAAATTATGTAAAAGCTACCATAATATGTAATAAAAGAGTAATAAGAAATGTATCACATTTTGAGTTCCGGCTGTTTATTACAAAATGCGGCAGATTGTTAAAAAATGTTGGTGTTATTACATAATGAAGTGAAGTGTATTACATTTTGTCGAGTTATTACATAATGTGTTGTCACAGACCACATAACGTTAAAAACATTAATTATTAGTGCGAACCAGATCCAGAACAGAGTTCTATCCTGGGTCCAGGACATTTAGTTATGTTTGGGTTTGGTTTTTTTCAAATGTGATTCATTAAAAAAATGTCTCTCTTTCTCACTCTGATTGTGTCATGTGTGTCATGTGTTGCAGGTAGATAACACAATCCCCAGTGTTGCATTAGCCTGGCCAGCTAATGTGCCGTAATGGATGAAAAAAAAATTTAAAATATATCTTCGGGCCTCAGGCTCTCTAGTTTTATTAGTTCACTATGTTTATTTGTCAGAGACGATGCACAAAAACAATGATCTCATACAAAGAGAAAAGATGCTTTGTATCAGATTTAGCTAGTGTGCATTGACAGGTAGACAAGTCAGGTTCAGGTACAGCACCAGTTGAGTTCAACTGGACCTTTACAAACATGGAGCAGGCTGGGTTTCGGTACTCAGTTCTGTTGTTTTGCTATCAGTACCACTTACCACTATAGCTAATGAACCATTAGCTTCCACTGCAAGATGAAAACAGTAAGAAATAGTCCCATTGCAAACTGTAGACAGTATTCTTGTAGCACCACAGGTGATATTCTGCTCATCAACATTATATTGAAAAGGGCTGGGCTATCTGCATGGCAACATATCACCAGAGCTGAAAAAGTATGTATTTGTAATTTGGGTGAACCAACTGTTTAAGCCGATTCAGCTTTGTGTGATGACATTTAATTTTACTTCAGGCTGCATAATTGTTCTTTTGTGGTAATTTTTCACCCAAAACGCACTAGAAACAATTGTCCTGGCCAGAGACGTTCATTAATCATCTACAGTGGCCCCAAAACCCTTTCAGAAGAACCCTTATGAAACCCATCCTCGCTTCATACAGTACACAGACCTTTAACATTCATTTAAAATGTGATGTGGATTATTCAGCTTGAATGTGCAGCTTGGTTACAAGTAAAGAAGAGCTATGTCAGGGGCGCCCAGTTAGCTCAGTGGGTAGTGCTGGCGACCCATGTACTAAGGCTGAGTCCTTGCTGCAGCGACCCAGGGTTCGAATCCAACCTGTGGCCCTTTCCTGTCTGTCTTCAGCTGTCTCTATCATGAAGGCAATAAAAAATAAATACAAAATACTTTAAAAAAAAAAAAGAAGAGCTACGTCAGCAACAATGACCTGTCCTGGCCTCTGCATCAATGGGGGTCATGCTGTGAAAAGAAGTGTGGGTTGGTCAAGGTGGAGCACAGAGAGATGAGAGTGAGCTGAGGTAGGAAAAAGGCAAGAAAAGCCTGAAAAGAGTAAGTCAGAGAGTAAAAGCTGGACTATTTCAACACCAACACAGTCTTCAAGTTCTAGAACCATATCATTTGTTTCATTACGTGAATTGTTTTGTATTGTACATTTGGTAATTAAAATGTAATCTAATTCAACACTACATGAATTCTTTCAGTCAGTGAATCTGAATCTGATCAGATGTGTAACTATTACTCACAGTAGTTCATCCTACCACACACTGGTCCTGGAGTACATGGACCAATTTGTTTGCTTTTACCACCAGCGCTGCTGGCTTACTGGTACACTTGATTTGCAGAGAGAAATGATCAAATATGTTTTTGGCTATTTTGATAGTAAAGATTGCTGACCTGTCTAATGTATAGTATAAATTATATGGAAAGATTTATAATGTGTTGTTCAATTTATATATTTTAGGGGAACAAAATATTACAAACACTTCACTATACAATGTACGACACCACCACTAACTACCACATAAAAAAATTACCATAGAGTTAAATCAACATCTCAACACACAGTACTACCTTTTACATGAACAGTGTGATTTGATTTTGAGACAAGACTCGGTTTATAGTTCATACCCCCATGCCGTTGTCCTGTGCTGCTCTGTGTACAATGACCAAAAAAGGCCAGTGATTCGACTGACAAAATGCAGGTTGTGGCTAGGGCTGCACAATATGATAAAAACATCAAAATGCAATCATTTTGACAGATATTGCGTTATGATTCACGGTTATGTGGGAATTACCATTTTTGGATCACAAATGTACATTTAAAAAAACTGTACCAAACAAAAATGTTTTCTTAAATCTGGATGACAAGATTTGTAGACTAGGGCACCTCTGCAGCACTACAGTACTTCATTATAATGCTGTTTACAGCTCTTCTGCAATTTGTTTATTGCACTTGGCCATGCTGGGATTTAGATTTTTTTATTAATTGTGCAACCCTAGTTGGGGCTTCTCGACTGATCACTGACATTTGATCTCAGAACTCATGATCGGATCAACTTATCACCCTGCATATAACCATACTGTACTACTACTACACTGGATGTCACAAGCTCATTAGAGCTGATATGAAACAATATGTATCACATTACAGGGTTTACAAAGATTCTAGTTTTAGAGAAAAATAATTGCATTTGTATTTATCACAGTCCCCGTCACATCCAACATCTTACTCCTCAGTTTACATTTACAACACTGCTATTTAGTGGTTGGGGGTTTAATATGTTTAAACCATCATAAAATGTTTTTTGATATTTTCTTAGACCCCTAAAAGCTCTTGTATACAAGCAAGCATCAGCAAGAAACTTTGTCATTTCCCAGGGATCTTGTTCTGTAGCTAGCAACAACAACAACAAGTGTGTATGCATTGGCCATTCATCTGCGGCAGCCCACCTTGCTGTGTGCATAGACCACAGAGCCCAGAAGCTTCCAGGTGCCTCCTCTTCGGTCCATCCGCACCATGCGTAGGATCTGCAGGAAACGCAGGCTCCGCAGGACTGAGGTGGCAAAGATGTTGCCCTGGCTACCGGCCGACACCACCGCCACCGACGCTATCAGCACTATGATGTCTGGAGGGCAAAGAGGAAACACACACAAGAGCTCACCAAGAGATAAGCAGAAATCTGCACAAACTATAATTCATTATTATAATAAACCCTGGACACAAAATAGGCATCATAACTGACATCACGCTCATACATTTTTATGCATTTCCTGATATATTTAACTGAATGGAAGCAGCCATTGTGAGCAGCCACCTGCGTTTACCCTACTATTTCAGGTCAAAATGGCTGCTGTGAAAAAGGTTTAATTGTATTCTGAACTTAATGCAATGTGTTCTCACATATGTGTTCATGTTTACTTTCATTATATTTCTTGCATTGTTCATTTATACTCATGTAATTCAAGTCAGCTGAGTTCATTATAGTTGAGCACAGACGCAAATAGTGATTTGCAAAAGCTGCATTTGTATTACCCAAATACTGGGAAACAACAATGCTTACACCCAAGATAAACTATATAAATAGTACATACACATGAGAACAACAGGAAATAGAAATGATTTGTAATAGGAGCAGAAATGTGTCCACACTTATAGATTAAAAATCCAACCTAAAGGCAAGTATATCTGGTTTATAATGATCTTAATGTGAAACTGGACCTCTAAAGCAGACTTCTCTGAGCCTGGAGGTCAGAATATCCGAGAACTGGCTTGATATCTATCACATTGTTGCATTAACAGCAACTCACTGATGTCACCTCCCTCTCTCCCCTGACTCTGGTTATCCGAACAAAGGCTCCATATTACTGCAGCTGACATAATCTGCTACAGGCATCAACAGTACAATAATGTACAGTGTGCTCTTCCTATATACTCTATATGTTCAGTCTCCAGGCTACCTCATCGATCTGCTGTACACACAAACAGGACAGCGGGGAAGCAGTAATTGGCTAAAGCACAGCTCCATGAAGAATATTCTTACACAGCGTGTCTGAAATGATGAAGATCTCTGCACTGCATGTTGTGATATTCTAACAGTCTGCGGGTTTCAGATTTGTGTCTCGTTTCATTTTTCCATAAGCAATGTGAGTTGCAGGCAAACTGTATGCGCTGCAAATTATGACAGACAGATACACAAACATCAACAAACAAAGGCACAGGAGGACAGACATGCACACAAACAGATCGGACTCTGTTCAGGAAGTTCACACCGAAACCACCATGAACATCAAAGCCACAAAGAGCACAGATGACTAAAGTAACAAGCCCACATATAACATTCTTTCTCCTCGCGCCCCCCCTTGCTCCTCTCAAACCGATTGTGCTATGTGAAACTCTACCCTTGGGTAGTGTTATTTAGTTCACAGTGTGCAAGAGCCTTCTCCTCATATGTAAGCATCCCTTTCGCTCCTGTCCTTCTGCCGAACCCGTTTTCTGAAAGAAAATGCTGACCAAGGTGTGGCTAATGGCTCCTGTTCTAAACCATAGGGCAGTTGACCCACAGTGAGGCAGAGGAACAGTCATCAGCAGCAGCGCCGGCGTGAAAAATACATTAATAACACCCAGGAGAGGAGAGTCTCTAGGGCTCCCGCAGTGCTGCAGCGGGTTCACTCTCTTTGTAAGTGCAGAGAGACAATCTTGAGTGAATAACAGAAAGATGAATGTGTGCGCAATCAAGAAAATCCAGTAATTTTTTCTTCTGGACCCCCAAAAATTCAGTTGAAAATGTTACAGAGAAATACAAAAATCTACTGTCAGCAGTGTGGACACGATGGAGAACATTTTGATCAATATTGATCAGTGTTAAAGTGTTGCAGGTGGCAGCTGCACTTTACCACTCCACATCCACATCTCCTATTCTGTCACTCAGCACACTGCCTCTGCTTAGTCTGCTGAAACCTTGTTAGTGAAAATATATTCATCAAATGCTATAAAAATGAAGGCAGACAGTAATCGGTGTGCTTGCGCTCACAGCAGACAAGCAGAACGTCTCACCCTGTTCAACTCTGCTGATGATGACAACAGTGATGACATCATCACGGTTGTTTTCTTAGACTTAAAAGTCCAGTGGAAGTGGGTCCTCTTATACAGAGTCCGCCATGTTAAACTGCCATGTTTCTACAGTGGCCCAGAATGGACAAACCAAACACTGGCTCTAGATAGGGCCTTTTGCGTTTTTTGCAAATTATGCAGCCACTGTAGTTTCTCCTACACACTTGGAACCGGAGGGTGAGGTGAGGGAGTTGCAATCAGCAACTACACTGCCAGATACCACTAAATCCTACACACTGGTCCTTCGAAAAAGCTCACCCAGAGCCATAAAAACATTATACAACTGTCTTCTAAGGTTGAGCAAGTACTCTTCATTAGGACTAAACTGACCTTCCTGTGTAAAACTGGTGGAGCATTAGGGTCCATTTACAAGGAAAACATCCAGTTCCGAAGGTGAAAAAATGTGATATAAAGAGAATCAAATCAGTAAGATAAGGGCAGAGGCAAAATGCAGAACATGTGTTGTGTTGACTCTTAAACAATATGTCATTACCACCTCAATTTGGTCAAAATACAGTACCATAATCCCATATTGTGTAATGTGCAGAGGTACTAATAAAAGAAACAAATCTGTTGGAAGCAAAATAACAAATATTTGGCACCCAAATCGATTTTCATTGCAGGTGTTGTACTGATTTCCCTATCCACCTCCCAGCGTAAGGTACACTGCCATTATTTCTGTCAGCCGTTTTATTCCAAATTGAGATAATCACCATTTGAGTAGTAGTAGCTAGTTTAATAAAATATAAAAGTGATCAGCTATAACATTCTGACTGACAGGTGAAGTGAATAACACTAATTATCTGGTTATCATGGCTCCTGTCAGTGGGTGGGATATATCAGGCAGCAAGTGAACATTTTGTCCTCAGAGTTTATGTTAGAAGCAGGAAAAATGGACAGTGTGAGGATCTGAGCGACTTTGACAAGGGCCACATTGTGATGGCTAGACGACTGGGTCAGAACATCTCCAGAACTGCAGCTCTTGTGGGGTGTTCCCGATCTGCAGAGGTCAGTACCTATCAAAAGTGGTCCAAGGAAGGAAAAGCAGTGAACCAGTAACAGGGTCATGGGGGGCCAAGGCCATTGATGCACGTTGGGAGCGAAGGCTGGCCAGTGTGGTCCGATCCAATAGACAAGCTACTGTAGCTCAAACTGCTGAAACAATTAAATCTTGGTTCTGATGGAAAGGTGTCAGAACACACAGTGCATCACTGTTACTGTTGGTATGAGGCTTCAAATTATGGCTGATTGGTGTATAACAAGGATTTGGGAACAATTCGGCATGAAGTGTTCTGACCTTCGGATAAACATACTGTATCAGGAAAAGTGTATGATATTACTGTCCATCCACAGGTCCAACATTCCAACACATTTGATGAGAGCTAGCTACAGTGAATGATGGGAAATGTGCAGCAGTCATTCATGATGGTTGTCAGCAGCTGTGTTTCTTTCTCAACCATCGGGGAGTATTCATAATGAAGGATTTGGTCCTAATGGGCTTTAAATGACTGCAGTGGACAAATCAACTGCTTACACCACTTGAGGTGAAATTGGTTCCAGTAATTTATGAGTTCATTCTGGTCACTGTGGGACTCAAATTTGTATGTTAACACACTTGTATACATATAGGAAACTACACTTAAAACAAACATGAACAGAAACACACCTCAGCGGTATATATTGACAGGTTAACATAGCTTTTGGTCACATTGGTTAAGATTTTATTTTATTTAGTCCAGCAAGTAATATGAAAAAACAATTCCACAGTTGGCTTAATGATCTAACTTTTGGGCACAATCATTTTTGCCAAAGGTAACACTAACAGGAAAAAATATTTCAAATTAATGTTCAGCTTCCAAAGCAAATGTTCTGTATTCATTTTAAATATTACACAGGTAAAGCAGGAGAGTAACTTGTTGTGGTATAAAGGATTACCAGTTGACATAATACTATATCTGAGGTATGTCCTGATGTGAAGTACAACATTACATTTAATATTGTGTGACATTCTGAAAACAATGTCATCTCAAGGTCTACTGGCTAGCATTGTCAGGGCTTTCAACCGTCCCACGCAGTCTTCAGTGGTTAATGGAACTCGCTCACGTGTCATCATGTGACCTACATGTGTTATCCAATGATAACCTGACTTCATCCACTCACTGATGAAGACTATGAGATATGGTTGAAAGCTAAAAAGTAAACCTTTAGTTGAGATTATTTTGTCACACATGCAGATCACAAGGTCAAGGGTTAATACTACCGAATGAATCTATTATGGAAATAAAATGAGATGAAATGTGTGCTCTCAGATAGGAATGCATGATAATTATCGGGCAGATAAATAAATAAATCATCCATTTATATAATTTATATCATGCCTTTATAATTTTTTGGGACGTAAAAATAAATGAACATTTGAAGAGTTTGTTGTTCTTGTGTAACAATAGTGATGTTAGACTAGATCAGAGCTATGGAATATTAATCACAGGTTGTAAAAACTACAGGTTATCAACTCTTTTTTAAAATACAAAAATATGAAATTATCAGTTATCTTATCGTATCAGCCAGGAGAAGCAGGTCATTATCGGTTATATTATCTGCTAAAAAAATCCATACCGTGCATCCTGACTCACAAATATTGCTCTTTTAGCTAGAAATATAGTAGCTTAGATTGAGCAATTAAATGCTGAAAATGCTGACGATTTTTGGGAACAAGTCTAAATTGATTGCTGCAGTGACACTGTCATCCTTAGTAACATTTTCAAGCATGTTCAATTTAGATTTAGCTTTTCTAGCAGAAGAATGGGATTAACTGACATTATAAACATGATTTTAGGAAAATTGCCCACTGTTGCCTCATCAACACACAAACACTGTCATTGCCTTTGTAATGGCAAGATGGTGCTAGCATGTACAGTAGGGTAGAGGTTCTGGATAGACATGTTTGGCTTAGTGCCAACTGAAAGGCCGCACAGAAGGACGATGTAACTGCAAATATTGCTGCTTTCATTAAGTAATTAATCACTTATTGTTTTCACAACAGCGGCACAATCTTCCAGAGCAGAACTGGGCCTCCCCAGGAGGGCTTTCAGGGGAGACTCACTGAATGGAAATAAAACAAATATTACACTAGCTATTAGATTAGTTATCAAAAAGAGATCACATAGAGTAGCATAAATGTGTGTGAAAGAGATACAGCAGTTTGTGGGAATTATACGTTTTTCCCACTTTACCAGAGTTAGAAACTACTGCTCTAGGGCAAACCTTTCTTTTTTGGTGTAGTCCGACGTAAAGTCAAACAGCAATATTAGGCTATCTTGGCTCAATTTCTGAGTGTCTATGGCATCAAATAACATAATGATCACATAGGCATCCAGGAATTGAGCAAAACTAAGCAAGCAAAGTAATGGGGGGAGGCCCACTGTCTCAGACTTTGAAAACCTCTGGTATAGAGCCAAATTCAAGTTAGTCTCTCAAAAAAGATCAAATAATTTACTCCTCTATCTGCACTGTAAGAAATAACTCTTCAGGGGGCGTCCAAACCTTGACAAGTATTGTTTTTGTCTGTTCCACAGTGATAAATTAAACAAGCAGCAGCTAGGCTATAATCTAAAAACAAAATGTTCACATTATAGTTGTGATTTTATACAAAACCACCATAATCCCTTTCTCGTGTGCATGTAAAATTTGATTACATCACACAGTGCAAGAGGTACAGTTATATATGGAGACATGAGGACACGTGTTATATAACGCAGCACTGTGGCTGTATGGAAGCTGGAACACAGTGAAAGCTAACTGATAAACCTAATTAATAAATGAGGTGTATGTGTCAAAGCCACAGACGCCCGATGTGACCGATCGCCATGTATACCTGCATCACCTCCATCTGTCTCCATGCCACTCAGGTCCTCTGAGTTCAACTCATTTTCTCTTTCATTTTCTCACTTTATCCCATCATCTCTCTCATTTTGTCACGCTGTCTGTCACACTCTGCTTCCCTGCCTCTCTTACCCTATTTTGGCCCTTTTGTTTTGCTCATATTCCCCCAGTGCTGGCAAACTGCAGCAGTCACTGCAAAGTGTGACGATGGGAGCTCACGGCACCCTGCATGACCTCGAAGCCCTGCTCTCCCTCCCTCGAGCACCCTACTGTACTTTCCAAGAGCAGGAGCAGAGAGATCCATGTCTAAACAGTGGAAAGAATAAAAGGCAGTTAATGCAACCTCATTACGTAAATGCTCTCTGCTCTTATGAGCTCTGACCACAACTGAAAACGACACGAGCAAACTATGGTCAATAGCGTGCTGTGGGACTGTGCTTACGTCTGACATCAAACTGCGTTCACAGAGAGGACAACTTCGGCCCGCTAGAAGGCAAGGAGAAGGCAACTGAAAGGTGAAACAATGAAGGAGGAGGAATTGGTACCTCTGCTGGAAAAAACAACACTTTTTTGGGAGGAAAGGTGTGTGCCTGTTTCCACAAAAGACACTCAACAACTCACCTATGACGCAGAAAGGCTTCCTGGCAAAGCGGAGTCGTCCCTGCCACCCTCTGTAGCGACAGCAGCATCCTGCCGACCAGATACGGACGATGTACTCCAATCCAAACACCACAATCATCACAAACTCCTGTCCAAGAAGACACAAACAATAGTTGTTTTGGCGGTGTCATTGCTTATCAGGAGATTAATTACATCCTCACATGTCATTATACATCATTAATGCAATGTTTTTGTGATTAAAATGGACGCCAGGTTGACAACGTATCTGATAATGACCCTAACAGCACATTCGGCTTCCATTAGATAACAACACTGATGCAATTAGCACAGTGCAATTTGTGAAATGGTGGTTACTGCTGCGGGGGCAATCATGTGCAGTAAATGCTCAACTGTACAAAAAAAATCCAACCTCTCCTTTTAGTTAGAGGCTTTTGAGAAACACACATTGAGTCACACTAAGAGCATTTTGAAAAGCATTTTTGCCCACCAGTAGCTCCGACTTTCTTTCTGAAGGCAACTCTGAACTCCATTTAGTGTTATTAGTACTTCAAGCCAGTAAAGTTCCCAGTTTGAGGGCAGGCACCAATGAGCCATTGAAGTCTATAGATGTGCTATTTATTACAGAGGAGGTGCTCTTTGTTATCCTCCTTCAGTGCTTCACATCTCCCCTCTCAATTGTTAACTGTTGCAAAGGTTTTCTATTTACATTCTTCCATTTTCTTCAATACGTGCACTTCTCGGCCTTGGCTACGGGAAACAAGTAAAGCATTCAGCATTTCCCCAACAGAATTATATTCCTGGCACTGTGGAGACGGCTCTTTAGACCTCTGTGTAGGCAAAAACATTTTTACAGAAAAATATCATTCAAGTCATTGTATGAGTACAATCAGAATATTTGGAGCATTTTACAGACTATGACCTGACAAAGCTGAGACCAAAGGGAAATGCTTCATGGTGTTCTATGTTTCTTAGCTAATCACACTGAAAGGAAGTGGTCCAACATTCTGCCCCCAAAAACTAACCATATTGCATCATATTGACTTGTATTATGTAGAACAAGGTCAAATTGTAATGACATGGAGGACTCTGTAGAAGGTGATTATACACTAATGAAAACATACCTGTTTAAAGAGATTGTAAAGATAAGAGTAGGAGCATTTTACAGTTGATACAAGGGGTGTTATAAAATATAAAAAAAATATTGTATTGCGATATTTTGTTTTGTTATATTTAATTCATTCTCAAAAATACTAATTACTATATTAATATTAATGTAAACCCCCATTGGCTAGATAGCAGTGAACGTAAACTAAGGGCTATGATGTTGGATTTTACTTTGAAAAATGCAGATCCTAGTGTTCTGGTTGCATAAAAAAATTAAAATGATCGCAACATATCCCAATATATTGAATTGTAACCTCCTATATCGTGATAAGTATTGTGTTTCCAGATTCTTGCTGTTACACTGCCCTAGTTGAAACCTGAACCTAATGAGTGCGCTCTCATGTAAAAAAAAAAATTTAAATGAGACATTTTAAACATATTTAACCCTTTATCGGACAATATGGCATATTTTGGTAGTTTTTTTTATAGGTGATACTAATATACACTTCACTGTTATGGCTTTCTTTCACAAATAACTCAAAGTGGGCTTGATCTTGATTTGCTTACATATAACATATTTTCATAGTATATTGATGTGGCATATTTCTTTTGCAGCAGTAGTCTGCTCAGTCCTTCTATGGGAAGAGGAGGCCTGCTGTGCCACAGATTGTTGTTGTGTCAACACACCTAGACATCATTGACTTTGATTTTCAGCCTAAAAGTGAAACTTTTTTTGAAAAATCAAAAAAGAAAGAATATCTTCTTATATCTGCCAATAACACTCCAGGGTTGACAATTTAAATTTCCAAGTATTTCAATGAGTGCCCTATAAAGGGTTAAACACTTCTGTACTGCAGTTTCTTGTTATTGGTGTATTGTCCTGGTCAGGTTATTGTTGAGGCTCTAGTGATTTGAACTGGCATTTTGTTGATATAAAATTCCTTTTGGCTGCTGGTTGTCCAGTTTCTCACCAGGATGAGGAGACAGTAGGAGGAGAAGTCCTGATGAGCGGGGATGGTTGAGAACACAGAGAGGACCAGGCAGCTGAAGACCAAGATGAACCTGAACAACAGAAAAACGAAGAAGAGAATCATAAATACAACATGTACGCACAATTTGACAGGATGACATCAATGATCTGACCTCTGAAACCACCACACTGACCAACAGAGCAAATCTCAAATTCCAAAACATTATTTCCACTGCTCACAGATATGCTGTTGATAATAGAAATGCGCACTAAAGTGGAGCTGTCCGCTGTATTTTCCTCTGCGACAAACTCTTGAACCCATTCTGGCACTGTAGGAGGACCAGAACACGAATAACCTGGCAGCACAATCACAGAACTTATTTCCTCTCTGCAGTGAACCATGAGGCCGACTATTATTCAATTTCCTGAGATATCAAGTTAATCATGCTTGTTTGTGTAACATGATTTGCAAGAAACAAGCAGTGAAACTGCGGCTATTGGAAAACAAGCAACATCCGACCATTTCCACACTCCGACTGTCGCTCCCTCGGCCAGGAAACCGTAGCCTTCCATCTTCATAACCATAACATGTTTTTTTTCCATTGCATAAATCTTCCAAAAACACATCGTTGTCTGAAATACGAGTGCGGGGGTTTAGAGTTACGGTGGCTCTTGATGCTAAACGGTGAGAGCACATCTGTGTTTTATCATCTCAGATCTCCTTTTAAGCCTGCCGGAGAAAGACAGGGTGACATTCTGTGTGTGTACTTTTCATCGTTGTCCAAGGAGAGGCTTAAGTAAAGCAGACACAGCTTTCTTTTTCAGTCATGTCCTGCTTCATGTTTGTACAGTTACACGTTAATAATTCAAACTGGAGACCTTCCGCTGAGCCCTGACCTTTAGGCCTCTACATTTGTAAAAAAAAAAAATAATAATAATAACTTTCACTTCAAAAATGGAGACTTCACACTCAGGCCACAGTGGCTTTTTAGAGCTTGTTGCTAAAAACAGCTGCCTGCCAATGCTATCAGAGTGGTGACAGTGAACCACAACAGTAAAATAGTTCTGTTTGATTTGCCACACCTGTGGTTACTGTTGGAGATGCTAAGACCATCTTCAACTGAGTTCTATTTGAAAACAGCTTGTAAATCGCTGGGGGCAGGAAATGTGCTCCATCTATCAGAACTCGTATGTGTTTACATCTGTTTACATAAGACTGAATTCTGTTTCATCAAACGTACCCGGGACCAACTGTTCCGTTGTTCTTTATTCCATTACATGACAAATGAACATGCGCACAAATTATGAGCAATGTGTGAATGCATCAGTTTTCCAAATTTTGTCTGGTATTTAGACAAACAACCCTTGTTGTATGTGTAAACAATACACTCAGTGCAATGATATAATGTCTCTATTTACCAACCATTAGTGCATGGCTATTTCAATTCTTAAAAAGCTTTTCCCCAATATAATCCATTTCCGCTTGCAAAACTTTTCATTATTGGCAATATGACATCTGCTCTACCCATAAAGCAGTTTGTCCATCTCCACAGCTGTATTGAAGTAGAGACTGGGGACTCCTAACTACCAGCCCCTTGGTGCCAAATTGACCCCAGATTATCACAGAGTTGAAAGGAAATCTTTCAAACTTGAAAATTGGGGGCATCAGGATAACATCCAGTGTTTGAAAGGCGCCTGTGTGAAAATGGTGGGTGTGCAGAGCGGGTCAGTGTCCCATACCCTATAGTACAGTGCAGGACTGTGCTGTTCTGACCCCGGTCGGGCCCTCTTTGACATCCAGAGAGACAAAATTGAGGTCAAGATTTTCCACAGCCACAAGGATGGTTATGTCATTATTTCTCAACTGTTAGGTTCTCCTCTTGCTCCGTCACACGGCTCAGATAGCGCCTGGAGGTTTCGAGTGAAATAAAAGCATAAAGTATCAAAAGTTTGAGGTTTGCTCTGTTGACATTTCAAAAGATTTGAATAATGTGATTTGGATTGGAGGGAAACATCTAGTGACAAGCATTGTGGTGCTGTCAGCTGAAAAGCAAGCTCCTTGTCACCGGCACACCTACGCCTCTCGCACTTACAAGGTTGTCAGACCGAAAATTACAGAGTGACAATCAACTCCCCTCATCCATAGAGTTTCCATTTTGAATATATTTACTTTAAAAGAGAGTAGAGAACTACTGAAAAGCACGCTGACAGTGTCATTAAGCTCTCAACTAAGTTCACTAATTAATCCCACAATTCGGTGTTCTCGGCTGGCCTTGGTCCCTGTGTGTGAAGATGCCGCACGCTCATATGTGGCAGAATTAATCTGGAGTGTCTCTCTCTCTCCTCCTCCAGTAGAGTGATCACTCTTAACCTTCCAAACAGCAGCAGCTAAAAATTTAGCTGGCCTACACAAACGCACAAATAAATGCACCCTCGCAAGATAGAGACATCTGTCCTTCCACCCAATCCCCTCTTTCAAATGCACCCTCCACCCCTCCTCCACTCACATATAAACAGAAAGAGACCCAGAACCACTGAATGAGTGGTAAGTGCTCTGATTTGCATAATTTAATTGATTTGTTTGTAAAATGGGTTGCAAGGCTAATGACTAACGTCCTCAAACTGCAACGGGTGGATAAAAACAGATATACAGCATCTTTGTCATCCTGCACACAGAGGCGGTGCCAGAGGGGAGGCTAGAGGTGGCACAGCGCCCCCGAATCTGATCAGGCCCCCTACCAGAGTCAGAAGGTGATACATGGTTGGCTTGTTATTATCAGAACCTCTATATGAAGTTACTGGTAACATTTCTTGTTAGAAAGTCAATCAAACGGCCTCAAATAGATGCAAAACGACCACAAAGAGACACCCAAATGACCACAAAGAGATGCAAAACCAAAATCTGTCTGGCGTCATTCACATATCCAGGGCCTAGTTGTTTCATAATTATACATGGCTGTAGGCTTTCAAGATATAAATAGCAGCTATTTATTAATATTATTTCATGAATATTTAAAGTCATGTATTACATTGACTAAACAGTGTTACCATTAATAATCTACAATGTATTCTTGCCCGGGCTTTAAATTTGAGTCTTAATACATTTCCCAAGTGTGACCCTTTTCTTTGAATCTGTACTATAGTCTGACTTGTCTGTCAGGTGAAGGACTTCTTTTTATTTCCCAAATCAGTGGTTCTCAACTGGTCTCACCTCAGGACACATTTTGTCATTACCTCGCGATCCACTTTTGTAGAATTCCGACCAAGCAAATATACTTTTCAAATAGGCTAGTAAACACATATACAATGTCATCGTGACCTTTTGTAACACAGCATACCACTTCTTCATCCCTGCATTCAGGGAGAGACCTGTTTAATCTGAGTGCATTGCATACACATCAACACATAAACACACACTCCCAATGTTGGCATTACACACACACATATACAATGGCATCTTTATTTAACATGAAATACACACATATTTTCATCCCTGCAATCAGAGCACATTACTCTAATAGTAAAACTGAAAAGTAAAACTGAGCTCTGTTTTCAATTAACAGACATTGTGGAAGCTTTTATGTCAAAATAAAAGTCAGACATCAGAGAATTTAAAATATGTCTTTTTTTACCAGATACATACTGTGGACAGATAAATTCAGTGCAACCTTTACACCCAAACGTGTAAAGAAGCATTACTCTGAAGACTCCTGGTCATGTGTTAATTGGGTCACAGCGCACTAATAGACTAATGACGCCGTAATGATCGGATCTGATTGGGTTTCTTATGACGGATTATACCAGAAGAAGCTCTCACTCGCATGACATCTAGATATGTCCTCTGATGCTGTCCATGGTCCTGAAAACAAATCCTGCTCCTGCCTTTTGATGGCACCGTGGGTTGTTGATTCACTTTTGAGTTTGGCCTTCACAGGGCACCATCACGGTATTTAGTTTGGGTTGATATGAAAGCAGATATTTAATTGTCTACAACTTTGTCGCTAATAACTATCTTTCCCTATTACCCTGCCATTTCAACTGAGCCGTGTCTCTGTTCCAAACCACATAATACTATGCTTGCCAGTTAGTATACCAGAAGGGAATGCACTCTACCAGGTTGAAAAACAGGAAATAGCATAAGAAGTTCACCAATAGATGTTAATCAATCTTTTGCTTTGGAAAACTGCAGCCAGTTAAGAAGACATTTTTTTTGAAGACTTTACTTTGTGTTTTCTGAGCTGTTCCTGGAGGTGATTCACCCACAACCACACCTGCTGGCAATTTTTAAAGCATTTTTCATTCATGTTTTTCAACCACACATACTCACAAAACTCAAATTATACCTATTTGTATCACTTTTTCTTGTGAACACTCGGGCTGCGACTAGCAATTATTCTCATTATCGATCAATTACAGTAAAGGGGCATCAATTTGTCTGGCAGAGGGTACTGTTGTCCTGATGGGGTGTCCTGATCGCTCACCTCGTAGAGCTGGCGCCCCATGTACAAAGTCCTTGCTGCCTATCGTCCCCTCTCTCTCTCCCCCTTTTCTGTCTCTCTTTAGCTCACACTATCTATTAAAGGCAATAAAACCTAAAGCAAAACACTTAAAAAAACAAAAAAAAGAAGGTACCACTGTAAGGTGGGGTTGCAGAGGTGATAACAATGGACAATTTTCTCACTCTACTGATTAAATAAAGCTGAGCCGGGGATCAGGGGAAGTGTGTGTCACCTTAATGTCAGTTCTGCGTTATCCTTAGTAACTTTATGGGGAGGTGAGGATACAAAGTGAAACCTTAAACCTAATAAAAGACTTGTTTGGGCTCATAAAAGTAGTGGTGTCTGTCAGCCTTTCGAATGTCCGTCTGTTTTAATAGTAGACTGACTGAGTGTGCTATTGTTCACTTGTACAGGATCTGTATGAATTGTATTATTAGATTATTGAATGGTTTTTACAATAAATTTCCGTTGTTATGAGAGTCCTTAGAAGAGTAATTTGTGTCTTTCTAAGATTTTCATGTTTTAGCTTTAGGTTTCAATTCTGAGGCTCTTAGGCTTTTGAAATGCTCCCAAATGCTGGTAGATTACCTGAA